AATGCTAGAGTGTTAGCTGGTTGCTAATGTGTTGCTGGGGTATTCTATAAATAGAGGTGACTTGACTTCTGGGTGGTTGCTAGGGTGTTGCTTTGGTAATGCTAGAGTGTTCTAGGTGGTTACTAAAGTGTTGGTGGGGTGTTCTATAAATAAAGGTGACTTGACTTCTGGGTGGTTGCTAGGGTGTTCAGGGTGGGTTACTATGGCGTTGATGTGGTAATGCTAGAGTGTTCTAGGTGGTTACTAATGTGTTGCTGGGGTATTCTATAAATAGAGGTAACTTGACTTCTGGGTGGTTGCTAGGGTGTTGCTTTGGTAATGTTAGAGTGTTCTAGGTGGTTACTAATGTGTTGTTAGGGTGTTCTATAAATAAAGGTGACTTGACTTCTGGGTGGTTGCTAGGGTGTTGCTTTGGTAATGCTAGAGTGTTCTAGGTGGTTACTAATGTGTTGCTGGGGTATTCTATAAATAGAGGTGACTTGACTTCTGGGTGGTTGCTAGGGTGTTGCTTTGGTAATGTTAGAGTGTTCTAGGTGGTTACTTAAGTGTTGTTAGGGTGTTCTATAAATAAAGGTGACTTGAATTTTCTGAGCAGGAGCAGAAGGGGAAGGTCCCGCAGCAGGGCTGAAGCCACGGCCTCCACAGGGTGTGTTTCCAGGTCAGCTGATTCTCCACTGGTGTGTGTGTTCTGCGGTGATCCTCCACGGCCCGTCTCACACACTCCAGCACCTCTGAGACCCGCGGCTCCGTCTCCGGTGTGAGCGGGAGACTCTCCGACGGGTCCCTGAGGAGCTCGAACACCAGCGGCGGGTCGTGGTACGTCACAAACTCCCCGTGACACACACACACTCCGGTGTCGTAGCAGCCGACGGCTCCCGCGGGAGAGAAGTTCGGTGTGAAGAAGTGGACCTTGAAGATGGAGTCGCCTGAGGAGGGTGTCATGGTTAGTGTTTAATAGTCATGATTAACCCTCTGGGGACCAGAGTGTTTTTGGGGCCCTTTGGATGTTTTGACATGCACTGACATTTGTGCTTTTTTCAGTTATTTATAAACATGTTAATGGCAAAGGTGTAAATTCACTCTATATATCACAAACGGGGCTACCATAATATGTGAGCAACATGTATGTACATATTTGTTTTTTTTAAGAGAATAATGTTTATGCGTGGTTATTGAAAGAAATACAAATGAAAGTTGCTGAAATAAAACCACAAAACACATACTAAATATGTGTCCACAAGACTTTTGACTAATGGATGTTGTCGCTTCGAGTTCTGGCTTCAAAATGATGTGAAAATCACCCTGCCTGATCGTTCACATAACACAATAACATTCATTTATACTTTGTATGACAGTTTTTTGGTCAGAAGAGGTTTATGCGTGGGAGTGGTAATGGCCTATCAATATTAATGAGCTTCAGACCAGGGGTGTGACAGACACTCTCCCAATGGCTAATGGCCCATCAAGTGAGGCAGCCTGAACAAAGAATGAGAGGAGATTCAAAGGTTTTCAATCTGTTTTATTGTAATTCCTCTATGTGGAGAAACTAAATGTTCTAAATTTGCTCTAAGCAAATCAAATGTGAGTAAAATAAATAAATAATCAGTCGGCTATAAACAAAGCAATTGTGAGCGATAAATAAACAAAACTAAAGGCAGGTATCTCACAGTAAATGCATATACCCCATTGATGCGGGCTCTAAGCAAATCAAATGTGAGTAAAATAAACAAAACTAAAGGCAGGTATCTCACAGTAAATGCTTATGCCCCATTGATGCGGGCTCTAAGCAAATCAAATGTGAGTAAAATAAACAAAACTAAAGGCAGGTATCTCACAGTAAATGCTTATGCCCCATTGATGCGGGCTCTAAGCAAATCAAATGTGAGTAAAATAAACAAAACTAAAGACAGGTATCTCACAGTAAATGCTTATGCCCCATTGATGCGGGCTCTAAGCAAATCAAATGTGAGTAAAATAACAAAAGTAAAGGCAGATCGCTATCCTCGCAGACCACGCCTGCTATGCTAGTGGGCTAAGGCTAGTAGCGGAAGTTCGGAAAGGTGGATTTAAGTAGTGAAATCAAAGCAATCCAATTGTTTTGAGAATACAGTTACATGTCTTGGTGCCATTTTTGAAAACAGTTCCTGTTCAACTGAAGACACAAGTGAACATTACATGCCTGGCATTTCCAAGGTGTGTCCTGCCTTTTACCAAGCTGTCCTTTGCAAAGCACACAGATCTTGCGACCAACTGTGCAAATGTTCGTTGCATCTGAGCTCAGCTCAGCGCCTGGAACCGGCACATGGTCACTACTGGTTTGTTTTGGTGCTACTTTCTGTGACACACCACAGAGCTCTGCAATAAGCTGTTCCATGAACTGTTTATGGGTCATGTTACCACATAACTCTTTGTGGATAAGGAAAGCATTGGTGGCAGCAATGTCCAAGAAGTGTAGAAAGATCTTTCTGTACCACTTCATTGTTTTGTGTTGTGCAGTGTAGTACTGTAAGAGTTGATCGGACAGGTCAACACCACCCATATGTTTGTTGTAGGCAGTCACAGGTGCAGGACATGGAAATGTCATTGTCCTCCATGTATCTTGCGTTTTCACCCTCCTCTGCACAGTCTCACCAGTATAAGCAGACTGAATGGTGGAACAGACAGATACCTCACGTGTGTCCATCCACTTCACAAATACAAGAGGTCCATCCCGAATCCACCTGATGGATCCCCTGGCAGATTTTTTTGAGAGTGAATTAGTTGTATCACGTGGGCAGTCCTTCCTGTTGTCCCTGTAAGTACCACATGCACCAAACTTCATTGCAAACAAGTCTTTTAGGAGCTTTGGGCTTGTGTAAAAATTGTCCATGTACACATGGTACCCAGAGCCTAAAACTTTACAGTCTAAAAGAGATGTTACAGCATCATATGACAGTCCATGGCCTGTGGGAAAGTTGTTCTTTCCTGTGTACACAGAAAAGTCCAAAGTGTATCCATTTGAGGAGTCTGCAAGAACAAACAACTTGAAACCCCATCTGGTTGGCTTAGCTTTCATGTACTGTGTCATGCCTGTGTGTGCTTTGCATGCCACCATTCTTTCATCCACAGCTAAGTTTCTTCTAGGATGATAAATGGCTTTACAAGCATGACGGATAGTGTCCATGAGAGGTTTGACCCTGAAAAGACGGTCATGTTCAGGTGTGCCCCTCTTTCTGTCATTCTCCTTATCTGCATCTGGGTGACTCATGTGCACATTCCATGAAATGGTGCGGTATCTCTCTCTTGTCATGATTGTGGCAGGAAAAGGCAAAGAGAAAAGACTGTCTTGCCGCCAGTAGTCCTTGATGGAGCTCATCTTCACCATGGCCATGTAAAACACCAGCCCAATGTAGCGGTACATCTCACTGATGCTGACATCAGTCCATTTAAATTTGCGGCCCTTTTCAATTGCACCAGCAGCCTGAGCATTGGTGTTGTGGCACAGATTTGACACTGCATTCTCAGAAAAAAACACTTTGAAGAGACTCTGAGGAGTGTGTGTGTCAGCAGGTCTCAGTTGTGGTCCAGGTTCCTGTGCTGGCAGGAATCTCAGAGTCTGTGGAACCAGATCAATGTCAGTCTCTGTTTTCCATGACAGAGTGGACTGCTTGTTGCTTGTTTGAATGTTTGTCTTGGCCCTCTTTGCAACAGGTGTCTGATGATCACCATCATCTTTATAGCTGTAGAACAAACAAACAAATGTGAGCATGTTTATTACACAAAAAACTGTATTTCAATCACTAAAAGTAATATTGCCCAGACAAAACCGGAATATGTAAACAGAATTATACTAATATCTGAAAGAAAGGGAATACGTGTACTTACTTGTCATTTTCAATTGTTCTCAAAACTGAACGACACCGGTTGCGTGCCCTCCTCCCAGTGTGAGTTGCAGGTGAAGGTGAGAGTGATGCTACCACATTCCTATAAAAATAATAATATTAATAAAGGTTTAACAAAGTACTATGCCAGCACATGCATAACTGATGGACAATCAGCATGTTGATAAAAAAAAAAAAAAAAGCTTTTATATCAACATTACCAATCACTAATTGTAATATTAGCATGCATAACAACAACAACACAATTTTTGCAAAGCCACACAGGCACATATGCATATTGTATCGTCACTAAGTAGGCCTATATAAACAAAATTGAACTAACATCTGTAAAATAGTGGGTATATGTACTTACTCTTTCTGATTTCCGTCTGTGTTGTTGCGTGCCCTCCTAGTGCGAGTTCCAGTTGATGGTGAGAGTGAGCAAGCTACATTCCTTTCAAAAAAAGTTGAAAACTTATTATCATAATTTACAGAGTAGGCCTACTATTCCAGCACATGCATAACTGATAGGCATTAGCATGCTGATAAATAAAACATATGTAACATTATCAACCAACCTCCAAATATAAATAAATATATTATCACTAAGTAGCCTATATAAACAAAATTGAACTAACATCTGTAAAATAGTGGGTAAATATCTACTTACTCTTTCTGATTTTCGACTGTGTTGCGCGCCCTCCGAGTGGCAGGTGAAGGTAGTGATGCTGCAACTACATTCCTTTAAAAAAAGTTGAAAACTATTATTACATAAATATTTCAAAGTATAGTACCATTGGCCTATAGTATGAATAACTGATGTGAAAAATGGTAGACGCATGCTGTATATGCGTGTCAATGTGCCATTACCGGAGATAGCACTAACATTAAACATTAACACATTTGCGCACTTCATCAACCGGGCATATTTACACATTTCAGCACATTTACAACAGATATTTGCGAGGCAATGCAAGCACACGCTTAGTTGATGATAATGAGGCAGCATAAACACTATAGCCTAGTCAAAATATAATCTAAACATAGATAATATTTTTTAAATATCATTTTACATATCCTTCAGCATTTAGCCTATAGGCTAGACAATTTAAATGGAAGTAAAACCTGCCTATTAAGATATATTTTAAATTTCAATACTCTGAATAGGCTACTGGATGGCAAGTCTGGAAATAGTCCAACCAGTAAAATATGTCCATGTTTATATAAAATAGCTTGTCAACTAATGTAACTTCAACTAAAAGACTTACTCATCCGAAATTGTATCCATGGCTGGATCAAGTCGCTCTTCAAAATACAAACGCTCATCGTCGGAGTCCCGCTCTTCTTCTGAGGAAAATGTGAACTCTTCGTCACTGTCCAGGACGAGCTGAAGAGCTTCCGCGCCGTGTAGCGTGTCATCTTCCAAATGCGCAGGAAAGTGAGTGAATCTTATTATGAAACTTGCTGCTTTTAAGGCATTTGCCTGGGGGCGTTTCTATTTTGCATATGGCCTCAACACATTATCTTATGAATAGCGCGCTCTGCGAGTGGGTGTGAACAAATTAACGATAATGAGCTGAGACCGGAGAAACTGTACTTCTCTTTAGTTTTATACAGTTTACATTGCAGGAGAATATTTGTTTTAAATGTGAATTGTTTTATTTAAAAGTAGAAATTTAAAGCGTTCTTTAGAGGTATGTTTCATGTTTGTGTGATAAGTATTGGCTGAGTTTCCGTTAATTTTCCAGACATGTTTCAGAAAGATTTTTGCAGAGACAGAGTGAGCTGAAAGCGCACCCTGTTTATTTTATTTATTTAAAATAAAACACACGGTTTTGATGTTAATGTGAGTGTACACAAAAAAAGAAGACCCTCTATAGTTTATAATCATGTATTGATTTTATTTATATGACCATAAATGACGGAGTATTTTAAGTCTATGTTGCTGCTATGTGAAAAAAAAACAGCAAAACGCGCGGGCGCGTTTCTGGTCCCCAGAGGGTTAATAACTAAAATATCCTTGTGAGTGAGTATCTGAGCGTGCGTGTGAGACTATCTGAGCGTGCGTGTGTGTGTGTGTGAGACTATCTGAGCGTGCGTGTGTGTGTGTGTGTGTGTGTGTGTCACTCACTGTCGTGCGGGTGCCAGCGCACAGCGTTCAGATATATGCCGCAGTAATGGAACATGAACTCGTGCTGTGAGCGGTTGGTTTTTCCCTCTAACAGCGGCATCAGGTCATGACCGTCCAGGATCCTTACACACACACACACACAACACTTAAACAAAGATGCTCACAACAGACGGGACCAACATTCCTTTACACATATAAACATCTAGACAAAAAAGATCAGGTGTGGTTGTGAGGCTGCACCTAGGTTGTTTTGGGTGGTTGCTAGGGTGTTGCTAAGGGGATGCTAGAGTGTTCCAGGTAGTTGTTAAAGTGTTTCTAGGGTGTTCTATAAATAAAGCTGACTTGACTTCTGGGTGGTTGCTAGTGTGTTCAGGGTGGTTTCTAGGGTGTTGCTAGGGTAATGCTAGAGTGCTCTAGGTGGTTGCTAAAGTATTGTTAGGTAGTTGCTAGGCTGTTCTGCCCTGTTGCTAAAGTGTTGCTTGGGTGTTCTATAAATAAAGGTGACTTGACTTCTGGGTGATTGCATGGGTGTTGCTGTGGAAATGCTAGAGTGTTTTAGGTGGTTGCTAGGGTGTTGCTAAGGTGATGCTAGAGTGTTGCAGGTAGTTGTTAAAGTGTTTCTAGGGTGTTCAATAAATAAAGGTGACTTGACTTCTGGGTGATTGCATGGGTGTTGCTGTGGAAATGCTAGAGTGTTTTAGGTGGTTGCTAGGGTGTTGCTAAGGTGATGCTAGAGTGTTGCAGGTAGTTGTTAAAGTGTTTCTAGGGTGTTCTATAAATAAAGGTGACTTGACTTCTGGGTGGTTGCTAGTGTGTTCAAGGTGGTTTCTAGGGTGTTTCTAGGGTAATGCTAGAGTGCTCTAGGTGGTTGCTAAAGTATTGTTAGGTAGTTGCTAGGCTGTTCTGCCCTGTTGCTAAAGTGTTGCTTGGGTGTTCTATAAATAAAGGTGACTTGACTTCTGGGTGATTGCATGGGTGTTGCTGTGGAAATGCTAGAGTGTTTTAGGTGGTTGCTAACGTGTTACTAGGGTGTTGGTCTGGTAATGCTAGAGTGTTCCAGGTGGTTGCTAAAATTTTGCTAGGGCGTTCTATAAATAAAGGGGACTTGACTTCTGGGTGGTAGCTAGGGTGTTGCTATGGTAATGCTAGAGTGTTCTAGGTTGTTGCTAAACTGTTGCTACGGTCTTCTATAAATAAAGATGACTTGAGTTCTGGGTGGCTGCTAGGGTGTTCAGGGTGGGTTACTATGGCGTTGATGTGGTAATGCTAGAGTGTTCTAGCTAGTTGCTAATGTGTTTCTAGGGTATTATGAAAAATAAAGGTGGCTTGAGTTCTTGGTGGTTGATAAGGTGTTGCTGTGGTAATGCTAAAGTGTTCTAGGTGGTTGTTAAAGTGTTGCTAGGGTATTCTATAAACAAAGGTGTCTTAAGTTCTGGGTGGTTGCTAGGGTGTTGCTGTGGTAATGCTAGAGTGTTCTAGGTGGTTACTAAAGTGTAGCCGGTATGTTCTATAAATAAAGGTGTATTGACTTCTGAGAGGTTAGGTGCTGCTATGTGGTTGCTAGGGTGTTCATGGTGGTTGCTGTGGCAATGCTAGAATGTTCTGAGTGGTTGCTAAAGTGTTCCTAGGTTGTTCTATAAATAAAGGTTACGACTTCTGGGTGGTTGCTCATGTGTTGCTACATGGTATCTAGGGTGTCCTGGTGGTTGCTAGGGTGATGCATGGATGTTTTGGGTAGTTGCTAGGACATTGTTAAGGTGATGCAAGGGTGTCCTGGTGGTTGCTACGGTGATGCAAGGGTGTCCTGGTGGTTGCTAGGGTTTTGTAATGATGTTCTGTGTGGTTGCTAGGGTGATGCTAAGCTATCCTAATATAATCTGTATTAGTGTGCACTGCAGTCTGAGCTTCAGGAATACAGTGCAGCTGGTGTTGTACCTGTTCTCCGGCAGCGCCCCCCCGGCGAGCTTCACCACTGTGGGAAAAACATCCATCAGACTGGTTGGTTCGGCCACCTGTCGACCCGCGGTGAGACGCCCGGGCCAGTGGAATATTCCCGGCACTCGGATCCCTCCCTCCCAGCCGCCCATGGCTTTCCCACCTAAACATACGAGGGGCAGTGAAAACACAGAATCATGTAGTGTATTTGCCTGTTTCTGTTCTTTTTGGAGCTTTGCACCATGTGTGAAGCGTGAACTCATCAACCTGGGTTGTTTATATAGTGCTGCTTGGTCGTTGCTATGGTGTTTTGGATAGTTGCTATGGTGATGAGTGTTCTGGGTTGTTACTATAGTGTTGCTAGGATGTTCTGGATGGTTGCTAGGGTGATGCTAGAGTTTTCAGGGTTGTTATTGTAGTGCTCCTATGCGGTTGCTAGGATGTTCTGGATGGTTGCTAGGGTGATGCTAGAGTGTTCTGGGTTGTTGCTATAATGTTGCTAGGGTGTTCTGGATGGTTGCTATGATATTGCTAGGGTGATGTTTGAGTGTTGTTTATATAGTGTTGCTAGGTGGTTGCTAAGGTGTTTTGGATGGTTAGTAGGGCATTGGCAGGGTGATGCAAGAGTGCTCTGGGTTGTTACTATAGTGTTGTTAGGTGGTTGCTAGGGTGATGCAAGAGTGTTCTGGGTTGTTGCTATAGTGTTGTTAGGTGGTTGCTACGGTGATGCAAGAGTGTTCTGGATGGTTGCTATGATATTGCTAGGGTGATGTTTGAGTGTTGTTTATATAGTGTTGCTAGGTGGTTGCTAAGGTGTTTTGGATGGTTAGTAGGGCATTGGCAGGGTGATGCAAGAGTGCTCTGGGTTGTTACTATAGTGTTGTTAGGTGGTTGCTAGGGTGATGCAAGAGTGTTCTGTGTTGTTGCTATAGTGTTGTTAGGTGGTTGCCAGAGTGATGCAAGAGTGTTCTGTGTTGTTGCTATAGTGTTGTTAGGTGGTTGCTACGGTGATGCAAGAGTGTTCTGGATGGTTGTTAAAGTGTTGCTAGGGTGTTTGATATGATGCTTTCTTCTTACTTGGCGGATTTGTGTATTTAGAACGACATTTTATTGTAGCAGTAAAGCATCTCATTATTTGTAAACAAATCAAACGCTCTGGTCTGTTGTGCTGCCCGCCAATCACGTTAGAGCATCCAGCTGTAGACACGCCCACTGTGACCAACAGTACAGCCACTCAAGGATCTGGTGTCTGGTGTTTCACAGGTTCACGCAGGTTTAGGTTGAGTAAATGATGACAGAATGTGTTGGTACCTCGATAGATCCCGTTCCAGCCTCCTCGCTGAGGGTCTTCGATGTGGCCGCCGTGATCAGATGTGAAGTACGTCAAGGTTTTCTCCGACAGGCCGAGCCTTTCGATGGTCTCCATCATTCTACCTGTGATCAAACACCTGATGTGATTGAGCTGTTGAGACCACGTGACCGAGCTCTTATGTTTCTTACATTAATTGTTACATTTGTTACATTTGATTCATGAGAAGAAAAGAGAGAGAAGCTATATTTAGCATGAATGTTTTTTTTAAAGATTGTTTGGCATTATGACATTTAATTATAATTAATTATGAATTATTTTATTATAAGTGATTTACTGGAAACAAATCCAATTTTTATTATCGATAAAAAAATGTATTACATTTGAAAGTATTTTACAATTTAATTAATATTTTATTGCAGTAATAAACATTTATTTGTTTGCAAAATTATTACTAAATGCCACAATGCAAAACAATCATGTATAGGTGGTTGCTAAGGTGTTGTGGGTGGTTGCCAAAGTGTTGCTAGGTGGTAACTATGATGTTCTGGGTGATGCTAAAGTGTTCTGGGTCATTGCTATAGTGTTGCTAGTGTGTTCTGGGCTCTTGCTATAGTGTTGCTAAGTGGTTGCTAGGGTGTTCTGGGTGGTTGCTAGGGTGATCTGGGTTGTTGCTATAGTGTTGCTAGGTGGTTGCTATGGTGTTCTGTGTGGTTGCTAGGGTGATGCTAGAGTGTTCTGGGTTGTTGCTATAGTGTTGCTAGGGTGTTCTGGATGGTTGCTAGGGTGCTGCTAGAGTTTTCTGGGTTGTTACTATAGTGCTGTGAGGTCGATGGTAGGGTGTTCTGGATGGTTGCTAGGGTGCTGCTAGAGTTTTCTGGGTTGTTACTATAGTGCTGTGAGGTCGATGGTAGGGTGTTCTGGATGGTTGCTAGGGTGTTCTGGATAGTTGCTAGGGTGACACTAGAGTGTTCTGGGTTGTTGCTATAGTGTTGCTAGGGTGTTCTGGATGGTTTCTAGGGTGCTGCTAGAGTTTTCCGGGTTGTTACTATAGTGCTGTTAGGTCGATGCTAGGGTGTTCTGGACGGTTGCTAGGGTGTTCTGGATAGTTGCTAGGGTATTGCTAAGGTGATACTAGAGTGTTCTGGGTTGTTGCTATAGTGTTGCTAGGATGTTATGGATGGTTGCTAGGGTGATGCTAGAGTGTTCTGGGTTGTTGCTATAGTGTTGTTAGGTGGTTGCTAGGGTGATGCTAGAGTCTTCTAGATTGTTGCTATAGTGTTGCTAGGGTGTTCTGGATGGTTGCTATGGCATTGCTAGGGTGATGTTTGAGTGTTCTGGGTTGTTGGTATAGTGTTGCTAGGTGGTTGCTAAGGTGTCCTAAATGGTTGCTAGGGCATTGCCAGGGTGATGTTAGAATGTTCTGTGTTGTTGCTATAGTGTTGTTAGGTGGTTGCTAGGGTGATGCTGGTTTGTTTTGCTTTCTTTTTTCTTGACGCATTTGTCTATTTACTGTTAGCACTGTTAGCATGGGTCGGAAAGAACAGAAATCCATCTCTTACCAACCATCCAGTCCACTTCTTCCACGTTGTCCCCATACAGCCCATGTTTGCTCTTCCCGGCGAATCTCTCGGACACGAAGAGGGGCGTGTGCACGTGTGCAAACGACAGGAAGAGCAGGAAGGGCCCATCTCGGTGTCTGACATCATAAATCACATGATGAACAATCACTCTAAACAGAAACGAAAAGACGTTTCCCACGGCAGGCACAAAAAAACAGCCCATAACCGTGAGCGTGGGAACGCCAGGAGACGAACAGCTGATCTGTCCGGACAGATCTAGTGTCTGAATTGCCCCATTATTAAGCAAGCATGCATGCAGATGAGCTTTACAGCTTCCTGTTTACGGGTGAATCTCAGCAAACATGTCAAGAACACGTGCGGATCTTACATCAGCACAAAATCAAAAGAAACTAATGAGAAATTATATTTTACATCAAGTTTACGTCAAGCTTTTAAAGATTGTTTTGCATTGTATTTAAATAGAACAAATTAATTCACTGTAAACAAATCCAATTTTTAATACAGTAATAAAAACGATAATTAAATTGTAAAATACTTTAAAATTTAACAATTTTTTATTGCAGTAATAAAAATACATTAGTTTGCATTGTGGTAAATTAATTGGTTATACTTGAATGACTCAATGCATGTACAGGTGTTTGCTAGGGTATTCTGGGTGGTTGCTTAAGTGTTCATAGGTAGTTGATATGTGGTTGATAGGGTGTTCTGGGTGGTTGCTAGGGCATTGCTAGGGAGATACTGGGGTGTTCTGGGTGGTTTTAGTCCTGGGTGGCTGCTAGGGTGATACTAGGGTGTTTTGGGTGTTGCTATTGCAAAGAGGATATTAGGGTGTTCTAGGTGGTTGCTATAGCGTTGCTAGGATAATATTAGGGTGTTCAGAGTGATTGCTAGTGCATTGCTAGGGTGATACTTAGGTGTTTTTTGGGTGGTTGCTAGGATGATACTACGATGTTTTGGGTGGTTGCTAGGATGATACTACGATGTTTTGGGTGGTTGCTAGGATGTTGCTAGGATGATACTAGGGTGTTCTTGGTGGGTGCTAAAGTGTTGGTGGGGTGTTCTGGGTGGTTGCTAGAGTGTTGCTAGGATGATATTAGGGTATTCTGGATGGTTGCTAGGATGATACTATGATGTTCTGGGTGGTTGCTAGGATGATACTATGATGTTCTGTGTGGTTGCAAGGGCGTTGCTAGGATGATATTAGGGTGTTCTAGGTGGTTGCTTAAGTGTTGCTAGGCAGTTATGTGGTTGCTTAATTAATTTTGCTTTGATTTAAGTATAAATTAATTATTTGTATTACAGTAATATTTAATGAGAATTTCTATTTTTGCATTTTTAGCGTTAAAAATAATGATTACAAATAAAACGTAAAATGTTTTTATAATGTTAAAAGAAATGTTAGAATTTCTTATTTATATTTATAAATATATATTGATGTTGGTCTGAAATGTGATCTGAACATGTTTGCCTGCGATTCACTGTTAATAATAAATGAGTCACTGTCTTTTCCTCAAGCCTTTTGAACAAACATGCTAAAGATTGACACATTCAGTCATGTACTCATTCGTTAGTGAATGACCAGACTCTAACCCTAACCCTAGCATGCTAAAACATGTAATAAACATGCTTATTCATGCAAGCAAACAAGCTAAAACATGTTAGCAAAATGCTAATCATGCTAGCAACATGTTAAATCATTTTAGCAAAATTCTCATCATGATAGCAAAATGTTAAAACATGTCATCAACATGTTAAATAATTTAAGCAACATGCTTATCATGCTAGCAACATGTTAAATCATGTACGCAACATGCTAATTAATGCAAACAAGATGCTAATCATGCTAGCAATATGTTAAATCATGTAAGCAAAATGCTAATCATGCTAACAACATGTCAAAACATGCTAGCAAATGCTAATCATGCTAGCAACATGTTAAATCATTTTAGCAACATGCTAATCATGATAGCAACATGTTAAAACATGTTAGCAATGTGTTAAATCATGCTAGCAACCTGTCAAAACATGCTAGCAATGCATTAAATCATGTAAGCAACATGCTAATCATGTTAGCGTGTTAAATCATGTAAGCAACATGCTAATTCATGCAAGCAACATGTTAACTCATGTAAGCAAAATGCTAATCATGCTAGCAACCTGTCAAAACATGCTAGCAATGCATTAAATCATGTAAGCAACATGCTAATCATGTTAGCGTATTAAATCATGTAAGCAACATGCTAATTCATGCAAGCAACATGTTAACTCATGTAAGCAAAATGTTAATCATGCTAGCAACATGTTACATCATTTTAACAACATGCTTACCATGATAGCAACATGTTAAAATATGTTGGCAATGTGTTAAATCATGTTAGCAACATGTTAAAAAATGCTAGCAATGTGTTAAATCATGCTAGCAACCTGTCAAATCATGCTAGCAACATGTTAAATCATGTTAGCAACATGCTAATTAATGCAAGCAAGATGCTAATCATGCTACCAATCAAGCGTGCCGCACAAGCCCTCAAAAGTGAAGCCAAAATGTCTCGATCGCCCCCCGGTGACCGGTCCTAGTATAGGTCATAAACCCCGCCTCCCCATGTTATTCAACGGGACGTGAGACCAACTAAATAATTAAATTACACTTCACATATCTTTTTTCTAAAGATAGTTTCTGTCATTTACTGTAGTTTCTATCACGTTGATGTAATTTCAAGTGTTTGTTTTTAAAATAAGTTAGTTTTTAGTTAGTTATTTGATGCTATAAAAACGGTGGTGTGACATCACGATTGACAGCTGTGATTGACAGGTTCTCTGTGTGAAGTAGTCACTGAAGTACTAACAGACTTTTTTTCATAATGTTGACTATGCGGTTAGTAGTTGTATTTACCTTATTTTAACGAGGTACTGCAATCAGCAGACATCATTGGAGAGGAACGGAGCAGACAAGGCCACTTAAGAAAAGTGCAGGGCGTGTGCTAGCGATTGATTCAACGAGCGTGGGGGCGGGGCCTTGATTTCGCAGCTTTACTTCCTGCTCACGACTGCGCATGACTGGTCCCGAAAACGCTACTGCGCAGACTCAAGTTCCAATGTGTCAGCGCCATGTCGGGACTCTGGCGGCTTCGGTTCTCTCCAATGGAAAAGAGCGAAGGGGCGTCGTCCATCTTTTTTTACAGCCTATGCTACCAATATGTTAAATCATGTAGGCAAAATGCTAATCATGCTAACAACATGTCAAAACATGCTAGCAAATGCTAATCATGCTAGCAACATGTTAAATCATTTTAGCAACATGCTAATCTTGATAGCAACATGTTAAAACATGTTAGCAATGTGTTAAATCATGTTAGCAACCTGTCAAAACATGCTAGCAATGCATTTAATCATGTTAGCAACATGCTAGCAGCATTCTAATGTCAGAATTAGAGAATTTTAGCCCACCTCTCCACGAACTGCTCTGCTTCACTCATGAGCCGCGCGTTCAGCGTCTCCGGGTTCAGCGGCTGCTCCACCACCTCGCCGTTCCTCATGATGATGCAGTTCCAGGTCCTCAGGAGTTCGAAGGGCACGAACCACACCGAGAAGCTCAGCAGCGACAGAGCGGCCAGAAACACCACGAGCGTCAGGCGGATCTGCATTAGCCCGACGGCCCGGACCAGAAGCAGCGTGAGGAGCGCGAGCGCCACCAGCGCAGACATCCTCCACAGCATCTCCTGCAGGTCCACCAGGACATCTTTCCCTTCTCCAGGCCGGCAGTCGTTGAAGAAGGTGAAGGGAAGCCCGTAGAAGAAGTCAAACCCGTGACTGTTGGGATGGTGGCAGTGATCGTTCCTGCTCTCACAGTTCACTCCCAAATGCCACTTTCCTGAAGAGTGAGGGAACTCACCGTAAAGACAACCAGGACACCAGACACCAGTTTAAGAAGTTTTAAGCTTTCGAACGACACCAACGACACCCAAATGTGACTTACCTGAAGAGTGAACACATCAAAATCACAGTTTTTTGAGTGTAGATCTCTCTACACTGCAGGTTATAGCAGAAGCGAAAGCCCTTCAATAACACAGTATCACAATCTCGATTCAAACACCCACACGATCTTATTCCTAAACGAGAGATTCATCTCTATCTATTAAACCTTTGACAAAATCACAGCGAACATTCAGATCGGCGTTCTGATCCAGAGAGAGCCGTTGTCATGCATAGATCTGAAACAGCTTCACAAACACACTTTATCATTCTTTCTGTCTTACGATAACTCAGATTATCACAGAGAACTGGATACGTTTATAGTTCGGATTTAAACACTTCCCTGAAGAGTGAGTGAACACACCGTAAGGACAACCAGGACATCAAACCCAGTTTTAACCTGTTAACAGTGTCCACAGGATGATTTTTGAGTGTTTATGCTTTCGAACGACACCTAATTTACTTAAATATGTGATGGGAGCCGGTTCAAAAGCCTTTACTACTTTACCAGCGAGACGTCTCATCCCTCTGAAGGGGAAACATGCCTCACTCCCTTCCTTTGACACATGGCTGGAAGAAAAGAAGTGTTCACTTGCATTAAATTGGAAAAATCAGACTATCACTCACTGGTTCTTTGAGGACCTTTGATAAACTGTGGCGCCCCTTTTTTATTTTATTTACTGGCTAACCTAAAAAAATACAAATAAATAAACTTTCCTTATCCTTTAATCCGCCCTTGTCTGGCTTATGCTACTCTGAGCAGTGCCTTCTTGCGTTGTTTTGCCTCTTCCAATGACTCGCTTGCTTTAGTCCTCATTTGTAAGTCGCTTTGGACAAAAGCGTCTCCTAAATGACACTTAAGCTGAGCACCCAGAAAAAATAACGCAGATTAATCCATTCCGTTTTGACCTTTGCGGAGCCGTTCTAGCCGTAGCCACCATTCGTGTAAAAAGGAGGGAGAGAAGAACGCGCTGCTTGGATCATTGTTTGACGGAGTTCGTCAACTCTAAAGTACCACATTTACATTTATCTGACGCTTTTATCCACACTTTTTATCAATGCAAAGCATCCAGGAGTGTGTGCGTGAGTCGGTGAGTGTGTCTGAGAGAAAGCGCGCTCGTGTGTGTGTGTGTTGTAACTTTTCACGCGCTCTCACGTCACACAACCGTGATTTTTCTCACGCACAGAAAAATCGCGCACTAAAGAGAGGACACGGAAACATACAAGACAGACGTTATTATGATATTAAAAAAATCTCAGCTCTAAGATTCTGTCAATTTTATTACGAAAATCAAACAATAAATACCGTTGGCGCTTGTAAATGTGACATGAGTCATAACAGATCCCATAGCGGCACGTGAACCGATCATCTCTAGCTAATAGTAAATAAACACGAATGAACATGTTGAAAGATAAAGTAGGGCAGCCTAAAACTTACCGAAATGTATATTCCTCGATCAATCAGTGTTTTTCAACCGCGAAAAGAGGTCAATAAAACAGCTGGAGAACAATTATGTCACATAACATTTAGCCTAAGTTACCTCAGGAAAGGCATTTCATGACCATATGATAGCACGTTAGTTGGCTATAAAAAAAAGAGCTATAGAGAGTGTTTTTCTAAATTTATGTAGCCTACTACTATATTACATATGTATTATATTTTTACTTATATCAAAGTTGTTATTTGTAATAAACACGCATTATATTTAATTTGAGCTATTTTTAACCTTAAATACTTCCAGCTGATATGGCTCTCTGTATTTTTACAGCATTGGGTGAGATTTTTTGTTTCTTGAGAAAAATGAATGCCTATCTTGTGTACCTATTTATCCAAATGAGTCAATATTGCATCAAATCACAAGAATTAAATTAAATTGAAATCGTGAAATTTGTGTCAAGCAATAATAATAAAAACGTAGCTTACCAGAAATTGTACCATGTAAACATTGTAAGATTGTGTATGCGATTAATTTAGATTAATTAATTACAGAGTATGTAATTAATTAGATTAAAAATTTTAATCGATTGACAGCCCTAATATATATATATATATATATATATATAAACCACTGCCTTTATTTGTTTCAAGGATGATTTAAGGTCTTAAATTAAAGCCAAAAATTAATATTGTCATCATTTACTCGCCCTATTAAACCTGTTCATCATACATATCGCTTCACAAAACTTGATTACAATTCCTCATTTTATATGGATTTTTTTCCGACGCCTTTATGATCTTTGTTTGTGGATATTCTAAGGTTCCCTGTCAATGGAGGGACAGAACTCTCAGGTTTCTTTATAAATACCTTTATTTGTGTTTCAAGAATTAATTAAAGTCTTATGGGTTTGGAACGACATGCGGGCGAGTAAATGATGAGCCAATGCTAATGTTTAAGGTGAACTGAAATAAAATAAAAACTACAAGTGAAAATAAAAAAAACACAGACATTAAAAAAAAACACAAACTAAAAGTGAAAATATAAACTAATTCAAAATATCACTAGTATATCCATGATATTAAAATAACACTGCTTTCTTTATAATATATTTTGAGAAACCAACGTTCTTCAAAACTCATATGGTTTTGGAACAACATGAGTGTGAGTATACGATAATTTTTAAGCAACCTTCAATGGTTTTCTTTATGCATACTATATTTTTCTTTTGCATGCAATAATAATATTTTTTACGGTAATGCTTTACAATAAGGTTTATTAGTTAACATCAGTTAATATATTAACTAACATGAACTAACAATGAGCAATACATTTGTTACAGTATTTATTAACGTTATCTTTGTTAACGTTAGTTAATAAAAATACAGCTGTTTATTGTTAGTTCATGTTAGTTCAAAGTGCATTAACTGATGTTAACAAGATTTTAATAAAGTAGTAAATGTTGAAATTAACATTAACAAAGATTAATAAATGCTAAATAAGTGCAGTTCATTATTAGTTCATGCTAACTAATGTAGTTAACTAATGTTAACTAATGAACCTTATTGTAAAGTGTTACCATTTTTACTATATGCATAAATATTTTTCTTTATGTATTAAGTAAAAAAGATTTTGCGACTGATTGACCCTTATTACGTGTCTTACCCACAATGCCGGTGGTGTAACCCTGCTTTTGCAGAAGTTTAGCGAAGGTGGTTTCGTTTGGAGGAAGTCCTCCGGATCCAGCGAGGAACAGAATCACCTGCACTCGACCTGTGCTGCCCAGACCTTCATATCCACACACACACACACACACACACACACACACACACACACACACTCCTGCATCAGACCGATAAAACACTCGATCTGAGACTCAAGAGTTCACAGCACAACTATTAGAGAGGAACAATATCACTGCAATCACTTTCAGAACGATCTTTACCAGCTGATGAATGATATAAACATTGTCAGCCAATCAGAATCCATCGACAGAACGACAAAACTCGAGCATGGATTCTGATTGGCTGTCAATGTTTATATCATTCATCAGCTGGAAAAGATCGTTCTGATTCCAGTGATTTCTTTCATTCCTCTGTGTTATTTTTGAAAACTGAATAGGAGAAATATTCTAGAAACGCAAATATTTTTCCACAGTTTTTTTTTTTTCATTCTTTTCTAGATCTGGAAATTACTCAAAAACTAATTCCATATTTTTCCAAGCTGCGTAGGAACCCTGTAATGTCAACAGGTACAGCTTTTGATTTTAATAACTCGGGCTTGACATTAACACGCCATTAACAAACGCAGGAGTATTTCAGCAGTGGCGTGAAACGCAGTCAAACTTTGGCGGGTTGAATTTTATATATAATATATACACTTTTCAATTGTAGTCTTTTAAAAAGGCATCTGAAATAATAAACTAAGTGCAATGTAGTGTTGCCAAAACTTGCTGAGTATTCACGTAAACACAGTCAGCTCTGTTTTAAGTGAATGTGAACAGTTGAGAAAGAAAACGCACGTGTAACAGTATAATGGATCTGTGCGTCAGCTCTTAAAGTGACAGCGGCCTAATAAACATGCAGCCAAATTATGAGATGATATTAAAAATATCTATATTGCCGTTTTTCCCTTAAGGTATCGATGTCAAAATTGTGGCCAGTGAAAATGCTGAGTAATTTTGGAAAATCACTCGCCACAGTATCAGGTGAGCAAAAAATAATGTCAAGCCCTGATAATATTGTATTAGTAAATGTTGAGATTAACATTAGCTAAGATTAATAGATGCTTTAAGCAGTATTCATAGTTATTTCATGTTAACTAATGTTGTTAACCAATATTAACCAATTAAGGGCCAGCTTTACTAGCGCAAACCCTCTTTTGGCGTTAAAAACTGCTGTCAGGATTTACTAAAGACACAGTGAAAAATTTATGGAAGCTTGTTTCCGCCACTGAATAAAAAATAGAAAAAAATAATTGCGACTTTTTATCTCACAATTGCGAGATATGAAGTCAGAATTGTGAGAAATAAAGTCGCAATTGCGAGAAAAAAAGACAGAATTGAGACTTTTTATCTCACAATTCTGACTTTTTTTCTCACAATTGCGAGTTTATATCTCGCAATTCTGGCTTTATTACACCTAATTGCGAGTTTATATCTCGAGATTCTGACATCTTTTCTCAGAATTGTGAGATATAAACTCGCAATTGCGAGTTATCAGGCCAATTCTAAGGAAAAAAAGACAGAATAGTTTATATCTCACAATTCTGACTTTACAACACGCAATTCTGACTTTATAACACGCAATTCTGACTTTATATCTCGCAATTCTGACTTTATATCTCGCAATTCTGACTTTACAACACGCAATTTCGACTTTATATCACGCAATTCTGACTTTATATCTCGCAATTCTGACTTTATAACACGCAATTCTGACTTTATATCTCCCAATTCTGACTTTATATCACACAATTCTGACTTTACAACACGCAATTCTGACTTTATAACACGCAATTCTGACTTTATATCTCGCAATTCTGACTTTATATCACGCAATTGCGACTTTATATCACGCAATTCTGACTTTATATCACGCAATTGCGACTTTATATCACGCAATTCTGACTTTATATCTCGCAATTCTGGGAAATAAAGTCAGAATTGTGAGATGTAAACTCGCAATTGTGAGGAAAAAAAGTCAGAATTGTGAGATAAAAAGTCGCAATTACACTTTTTATTTTTCATTCTGTGGCGGACACAAGCTTGCATAAGAATTAGCGCTGAAAAGGCGAGAACGGTTATTTTTCTGGGGTTAATGTCCTTATTGCACATGCGTTTGGAGGAGTTTCCGTTTCAGATGTAAAAATTTACTAAGGTTTGCGTTAGTCAATGTACTGGTGTTTGCGCCATTATTTACCGCCAAAAAAAGCCTGTCTTAAACCAGACGCTAAACCAGACCCTACCTGCTAGATAGTGTGGGTCATTATAGAAATGATCTGACTGTTCTTATTTAATTATTCAACAATATTATTGATCTGCCTTACTTCAGGTGGACGATGACGCAATTTTCTTCTACAAACAAACTTGTTCATGTTATCACTGTGAAGCTGCTTTGATACAATCAGACAGGTGTGTCTCCTCACCGGCGCGGAGAGCGTAGCGGCCCGTCATGAACGCGGTTCTGCTGGGAGTGCAGAGCGGAGCGGCGGAGATGTGATGGGTCAGTGTCACTCCCGCTGACGCCAGACGGTCGATGTTTGGAGTCCTTCACACACATCACAACAACATCTGCAGATTAATACAGCAGCGGAAAACAGTTTACAACGTTTCAGACCTACACTGCAAGAAATGAGTTTCTTCCTCTGTGTTTCTGTCTTGTTTTCCAGAACAAACATCAAAACACTCTTAAATCGGGATCCAGTTACTGGAGAAGCGAAATGACTGAAGATATTAAGAATTTGATCAGAATAAGCGAAATATCAGACAAATATCTGACAATTGTCACAGTCATCGTCTGCACCATCCTGTCTTCATCTTCACTACACTTCCCAGAATCCCTCGTGTCTTCACACCTGAACTCACTCCCTCATTACACACCTGTTCATCGTCTTCATCATCCGTGTCACCTGTCCTCATCAGTGTTCATTGATATCTGTATTTAGTTTCCCTCTGTTCAGTCAGTCCTTGCAGAGACTATTTATATAGAGACATGCCACTTCCTCAATCCTTAATACAACTATATAGGGAAAACCCGTAACACCAAAGATGGCGGTTGTATGCACATGTCCCGCCCCTCCCGCTGGAAAGCCAATCGTCTGCTTTTAACAGTCAAGCCGGGAAACATGTAAGCCTATCGTCTGGTTCCACCGACGCATGCGCACAGTTGAGGTTTGGACAGCGCAAAATACGTTACTGTTTGAAAAGGCGGCAGATTTGATATGCAGTGTATGTGTGAGTTGTGTAATATCAGACATCAGAAGTCTCCCGCAGATTGATAGCGGCTCCCTGATGCCCGCAAATTAGTTCAAATCTCCCGGGATCTAGAGCGAGCGAGCACATACTGTGCTTCAAACTGTGTAGCGCGCGCACGAGAGAGGGAGAGAACCCTTGCGCATGTGTAGTAAAAGTATAACCTGTGGGGGAAAAGGCGTTTTAAACCTTATTTTGGGGCAAAGTCATCCTACTTTTTCAGCGATTTTTATCATATTTTACTGCTGTTTCTATACATGCAGTTTTTATGTCCCGGTGACCAGTGAAACTGCAGTTCTGACTCTCTGCCCATTCATTTAGATAGGAGCCTGGTCTTGTTAGTCCGATCAGAGAATGTCTAATTGAAGAGAATTGGCACTGTCTGGTTACTTCCGGTTTCTGAACTGGCTGCAGTAACACGTCTCTGTCCATGCGGGGGCGCTCGCAGGCGAGTGCAGAATGAATGGGAGTCTATGGGGTTTCACCCCCAGAAATCCACTTTTCTCAGGATGTAATTTTTTGTCAAGTAATTTGAAAGTTGCATTCAAAAGGGAGGGCTAAGATAATACACTCAGTTGAAAACTGCATTTTTAAGTTCACTTATCTGTTCTAAAAACCCGTTCAAAAATGTGATGACGTCACATAATAGCAGAATGCTAGCGTGTTCCGGCCAACAACGGCCCAACCTGTAAGAAATCGAAAGGACATAAGTACTCGTTCATTCGACTTTTGGCCTATAATCTATATTGAACTTGCGGAATCAACAATAAAATCTATGTTGATTCAACGACAAGCAGGAGAAAGAGATACATTTAGCCGTCTAGCTCCATAGACTCCCATTCATTCTGCACTCGCCCGCGATCACCTCCAGTGGAATTATAATGGAACTGCGACCAATATGATACACAATGGGGCTAATAGGAAGTGCCAAGGCTCTCCGTTAGACGGGCTCTGGTCCGATATAGCTGCCCGGAGGCGTTGCCAAGATGGCGTCGAGTGGCATGACTTGCCTAAAAGGACTTTGGTCCTTGTCGGTTCTACTTTAATAATGTTACCTTTTGTGTGTGTGTGTGTGTGTGTACTCTCTGCCCGTCTGTCTGCCTGCACCTGTTTGTTGTTTTGTGTCGTCAGTAAAAGTTTAAAGTTTACTTTGGACTCATCTTGTTCTTCAGCCCGCACCATTTTAAAAAAATTGTTGCATTAAGATTCCATAAATTCTCTTTTTGTATTCATTCCAAGGACAGAATAACGCCATACGGGTCTGAAACAACATGAGGGTGAGTAAATGATGACAGAATCCAATTATTCTTTTATTATTAGCAGTTTCATATACCTGATGGTGTCATTCCCATAGCAGCCGATATCTCCAATGCCCAGATCATCCACCATCATCAGGACGAAGTTGGGTCTGAAATCAGGATCTGCGTTCGTGACACACAAGCTGGACTGGAACAGAACCAGTAAACCAGCGAAAACCCTGCAAAAGCACACCAGAGCTCAGGTTATCTAACAGCAACACATGTGTTATGATTTATGAAATCTGCAGATGCACGAAACCTTAAGCTCGTGTTGTCCATCAGCAGCATCTGGAGAAGAAGAGAAGCTCCTCTAAACTGCAGGTGAGATGATGGACATGTTCAGATTGATCTGTCCCGGAAGAACACATAAATAGAGATAGATGTGTGCAGAATGCATGCAAACACGTGATCACGGAGATGACAACACGCGCACGCGCTTCTGCTGGAGTTTGAACATCAGCTGATTTAATCAGGATCATACAGTATACAAACATGCGTTTAATTTCATGCAGCTGCTTTCTTTACACTTGTCAGCTCAAATTCTATCTTTAGGTTTCTTTTATATGCGTACCTTCCCTTAAACAGCCAGTTTCCCCGCTTCTTCACAGGATTTACACTCACTCACTCTTTTACCGACAGGATATTTCACATTCCGAGCGCACTCGCGAAAGACGCGTTTACCGTAAACACTCATATACAGACGCATATACTAATGAGCGAACCATTCGAACTCGGCTTATATACAAATTATCAACTAATGTGAACAGAATGAGTGCAGTTAGTTCAACACATGCCTGTGTGATTGTTATAATTGTTTGTTTTATTTTAAACAGAGTGTGTTAAAATAGTGTGCGCTGATAGTCAACGCTACACGGTAGATTCGAACAAAGAGCCTTTTACCAAAGTCTGTTTTCACATTGCTCATGTTGTGTGCCTGGAAAAGCTGCTTCTGCACAACTCAAATATTTATTTAAAAGTGTGCAATAATAATAATAAAAATAAAAATAAACTCTACATTTAGCATATTATTATGCATAATACCACAATGTAAATTATTGCTACTATTATTAACAATGATACTAATTATTTACATTGAGTTTATTATTAGTAGTAATATTATGAGCTAATCCTGTGGTGAGTTCACCATGGTTACAATAATGAGAAATAAGAAGGTTAATTGCTTCTTTACTTGTTTTCTCTGAAACATTGAATATAATAATATTATGCATTATACCACAATGTAAATTATTGCTATTATTATTGGTAACACTTTATTTTACAGTGTTACACATGTTACTAGTAGTTACTGTAGTAATAACTTTAAATTATGCATGATTACATGCAGTTAACCCTATAGTAAGTACATGTAGTTAATTATTATTACTCAGTACTTAAATGTATACTTAAACTCTTAACACTGACACCTTAAAATAGTGTAATAATTTGCATTGTTATTATTGTTATATAGCTACAATATTTAATAATAATTCGATTGGCATTCAATGTTTGTGGACTTCTGGTTTGTGTCATTAAATCATTGCATTATGAATCTGTGTGCAATTAACTGTGTACATAGTCATTTCATGTAACCAACCCTTTATTCAAACTCAACAATTATTTACAGAATTTAAAATAACAAAAACAAAATGGAAAGAAAAAAAATCCTATGAATTCTATTTGGTCAGACAACACATTTTCAAAGTGAATCATTCCAGGGTGTGAGATTTGCTTTTTATGAATCAGAGGCAACAATTAAACATCAAACAAAACTGTGTGATTAAAGACACAGTAGCGAAACTACGTGACACTTTTTAAAGTAACGCAATGAAATGGCTCTCCTGAAAGGCTGTCGAATCACACATGCATACACATGCACGCATCCCGTCCCATTCAAACTATGTGAAATTACATTCAAAACAAATTATTAACAGTTCTATGTGCTAGTTGAGAACTGCAGTCGAAGCAGAGGAGAAGGGTGTTATGAGAGAATAATCTGCGCCAGGAGCTGTAAATGAATGTTTGTGCTGCACTGTGAATGCATGAAAACACATGAATCGTGTGTGACGTTCACTCTGATTCTCAAGATGAGAACGAGTAGTTATAATGTGCTGTTCAAATGTGCAGCGGTTCACAGTAGCTTCATGGGAATCCTCCGCCTGCAGACCCGCGGTCACTGATGGAGTTCGGGTGAATCCAGGAGAGTGCTTGAAACTGTGTGTGAAAAGCAGAATAAACATGCTTAGCAGTTCACAGTGACACCAGTATAGAGATGCGCGATCAACAGTTCAAAGATTCAAACACCTGCGCGACACTATTCCTAATGCAACGATTCCTCTCTGTCTATTAAACCTTTGACAAGTCCGATCACAGCAAACATTCAGATCTGCGTTCTGAGCCAGAGAGAGCCGTTGTCATGAAACCGCTTCACAGTCTTATCAACCTCACACTATCATTATCTCTATCTGAAAATCATTCATTTTATCACAGAAGCACTGGGATAAAAGTTTATCGTTCGGATAGAAACACTGATGTCTACGGTAGGGATCATAATAGAGTTAATCACCTTTTGAAAGTAACTTGATGCTTCAAATAAAGATTGTCAATTACATCACTACACCAGTAGGTGGCGACAAGTGACTGTTAAAAATGTGTGAGTCATTGAATCATTCAAGAGATTCGTTCAAAAACGGAGATTCATCTAGTAATGGAACGAGTGAGGTATTTATGAGTGAGTCATTGAATCATTTAAGAGATTTGTTTTAAAAAATGCAGATTCATCTAGTAATGAAGCAAGTGAAGTCCCTGAATCATTCAAGAGATTCGTTAAAAAAATGCTGATTCATCTAATAATGGAACAAGTGAGGTATTTATGAGTGAGTCATTGAATCATTTAAGAGATTTGTTTTAAAAATGCGGATTCATCTAGTAATGAAGCAAGTGAAGTCACTGTAAGACTGGGAAACTGGTTGAAGCTGGAAATGAACATTTGGCCTTGTAAGAACTGGTTGGAGACACTGTCTTGACCACATGGTCTATTGAAACAAAGGAACTTGCTGAAATAGCATTCGACCTCCCCCTCACGCAGTCTCACCTGATTTACATTTCACCCAGTAACAGCTGAAACTCACATGAGAATATATATATGGTTTGATGTGAATGATTATCATTGAGCATTATGTTTGGTATCATTTGAAATGTCTCAGGAATGAGTGGTACAAATGTCTCATTCCCAAAGTATAAAACAAAAGGTAATAAGGTTTTTTAAGAGTTTAGGGATATCCGGCACACAAATGAATGTGGTCTCCTACTCCCAAGGTGTGAACTCAATGCTAATTTCCACTGTTAGCAAATGTTACCATGTAAATTTACTTCTGCCCCCAGTAAGTCTGGGGGGATGAACACAGTACATTTCCACTGTGAATACAGGTTTACATATGAAATGAGGTCTGGCTATTTAATGGAAGGCAGCAAGGGATCGTGGCTTTTTTCTGTATCTCAGATAGCCCGTGGATGCTGAGTCGCCGAGACTCAGCATTCATGTATTTCATGTTGGGTAAAAGATTTTCCTCTTTGTTCTAGAACATTTGATGAGTTGCATTGATTATCTTTCAATTGATTATGGAATTATTATAATACATTTACCTGACATAATAAATTGTTATATTTGATTATTCTAACAGACTTTGACTTTATTTTCATTGGAGTTAAAACGAATAGTCAAACATTAACGTATACTTAATGATGCACAGATATCATTCAAAAACACTTTCATTCTATGGAGTCAGATGAAACGAGTTAATACATTTAAGACAAAAAGTATTGCATTTAATTAAATATCCCTTTGCCATTGGAAGAGACGGAACGCGCATGTGACCTTCACCGCTAATTTGAATGCCGCCCTTGGATCGAATTAGCAGGCCTTACATCACTGAATCATTCAAGAGATTTGTTCAAAAAATGCTGATTCATCTAGTAATGAAGCAAGTAGTGAGTCATTGAATCATTTAAGAGATTTGTTTTTAAAAATGCTGATTCATCTAATAATGAAGCAAGTAGTGAGTCATTGAATCATTTAAGAGATTTGTTTTAAAAAATGCGGATTCATCCAGTAATAAAACAAGTGAAGTCATTATGAGTGAGTCATTGAATCATTCAAGAGATTCGTTAAAAAAATGCTGATTCATCTAGTAATGAAGCAAGTAGTGAGTCATTGAATCATTTAAGAGATTTGTTTTTTAAAAATGTGGATTCATCCGGTAATGAAACAAGTGAAGTCATTATGAGTGAGTCATTGAATCATTCAAGAGATTTGTTCAAAGAATGCTGATTCATCTAGTAATGAAGCAAGTAGTGAGTCATTGAATCATTTAAGAGATTCGTTTTAAAAAATGCAGATTCATCTAGTAATGAAGCAAGTGAAGTCACTGAATCATTCAAGAGATTCGTTCAAAAAATGCTGATTCATCTAGTAATGAATAGGGGTGTCACGATTCTCCAAATCCTCGATTCGATTAAGTTTTCGATTCTAAGGTCACGATTCGATTCAATTCTCAAAAAAAATAAAAATAAATTAAAGTGCAGATTGCTATGCAATTTTTAGACTACACGTTTATGCATTATGCAATATAAATTTGTTCACAATGTACACTACACCATTGCCAAATTTAAAATATAACAAAAACAAGTAACATCATAAATGTAACAATAACTTTATTAAGTCAATTGGAAATTTAAAGTAACAACAGGTAGTTTTTTGCTCTCGGGCTCCCCCTACAGTTGGGAAACAGTATTGTCCTCTACTACTGTCGTAAACTCTGTCATCCTACATGCACGTGCAATTGTTGACAACCATGATAGCCCTGAACACTGTAGGAGGAGGTCACATGCAGGTGTTCTGCTTGCGTCGCGTGTGAAATGTCTTCATCCCAGGTACAGTGGCATATATTTCAGCATGTCATATGAATATAATTTCATGGGTTTTATATTTTTTCTAACGACAAATGATCGCGATGCTCACGTTTACAAGCCAGCGTCATTATAGTAGCCTAGTCTATTGGTTACCGTTTTACTGGATCTATATGATACTTCAATGCAATGTTTGAGTGGTTGATAATAACCATATATCGTCAATATTATAATATCAAGCTACCATAAATGAATCTGCAAATTTTACAAATCGATTTGCATTATAGCTTGAGGCAAGACAAATAAACAAATATCACAGACATGTTAGGTATCCTAAAATATGATTTTATTAATAATCTTCCTCCTTTCTTTGTACATGTTGAGTAGACTACACTTTTTAGGTCAAACATTTGCTATTTGCATTTCATCGATTGCAAAGTTCAAATCAGAACGAGAATACTAGCGATAGCTAACCATCAAAAACTAGAATATCGTTTACTAGCTACCAGATTGATAATTCGCTACTACTCTAGCGAATTAGAGAGGTTAGAGAGAGGCATTCTTTTTTCGATGGAGGGTTCGATGCTCCCTCCACACGCAAGGTCTCTCGCTCGCTTTCTCTCTCTGCCGTCCGCGCGCGTTGGAGCACAGTCTCTGTCTCGCGTGCGCGCTCGCTCTAGATTCCGGGAGATTTGAACTAATTTGCGGTATAACTTGTCGATCACGAGTGGCTCAACAGGTAGATCTATAGATAAACTCATCTTTCAGGGATTTGACCGACCGGGTTGACAATTTAGCGTACGTGTGGCGTACGTGTGAGCGTGTGAAACCAATTAAATGCGGGTGTCTCACGGCCAATGCGTGAGAGTTGGCAGCTCTGCAATGTTGATCCTCGTTCTGCCTTTAACGCGATCACTTTCTCTTTTTCTCTTTTTGCTTTGCTCCAATAAAACCTTTGCTTTCTTGTTTTTCTGTGCTGCTTCGGCCATGACTATAACATTTGGCTCGCAAGTCCGATTTTAAGGAAGTGGGGGTGGTGGTGGAAGTGACGTATATGCCGTAAAACAGTCGAATTTTGTAGTTCTCTTTGTTCGCCGGTTACTACCCGAAACCCGAAGTTTAAAAGTACGATTAAAAACGCTACAGACCCCGTCAGGCTATGGCAGACGCGTCATTCAACCTATTGTAAGTCGATGTACCATCACAAGAGACTTGGAAATATATTATGAAGGTTGAAAAGTTACCTGTTGTTACTTTAAGAGAAACTAAATGGCAGGTTACTTTGCTTTTGTAACTGCAGTCTTCTCAGAAGATGACATTTATGTTCATTAATATAATGTGCTGTGACAGTCATGAAGCTCTGTGTTGCTCTGGAGGTCCAGCAATCTGTAGACAAGGCCACTAAATGTGCACTTCTCAGACCTTCAATAACTTTCTCCTTTACATTGTTGTACAATGAGGGTATCACCGTAGTTGTGAAATGCGTTCTACTTGGGATTTCGTAGCGCGGTTCTAGCACGCTAATTAAATGCCTAAATCCGGAGTTTTCCACCACTGAATAAGGTCGCATATCTGCAGCGATGAATACTCCTAAGGCGCTTGTAATTGCATTTGCACGAGTTGAGTTACTTGGAAATTTAATTCCAAATGAAGACGGGAGAGTAGTTTGTACAGTTGTTAGTTTGACCGACAAATCTATATTTTTGTGCTGTCTGCGGAGATGCGCAGCCATGTTAGTCGTGTTGCCAGTGGACGAATATGGTACACGCACATAGCAGAGCTTGCAAACTGTGGCTTTTTTGTCGACAATGCGAACGTTGTCAACATACCGCACTGCAAATCCAAAATACCTCCACACCGGCGACTTCAGAGAAGCAGGAGGGTGTTCAAGTTCCGTTGATGGGTCTTCGATATCTGCAGTTGCCATGATGTGTCAGTTAGAGGACTCGCAGCCTTTCAACAGGTGTTTTGTTTTCCGCACCGTGATGAGTTGTTCATCATGAATGAGTCATTCATCATAAACGATCTGTTCATTGCCTCTGTCACGCGACAAATGAACAAAAGACTCGGAAGGTAAAGTAATTATTTGTTCCCTGTAGTGTAAATTATTTTTCACTGCATTCATTATGTACATCATCTTAATGTTCTGGGAATTTGCATGTTAATAGTATAACATTTAAAGCCCCTGAAATTACTAGAAAAAAAGTTTAGTTAATTTTGATGAACGAGATTGAACGAGATTGATGAATGAGTCTGTAAAACGATCCGAACTTTCCATCACGGACGCGACATGGGGCGTGGCAGTATCGACGATACCATTTTTTATTTCGATTTCGATACCATTGAATTAATTTCGATCGATTTCGATTTAATATCGAAATCGTGACACCCTTAGTAATGAAGCAAGTAGTGAGTCATTGAATCATTTAAAAGATTTGTTTTAAAAAATGCGGATTCATCCGGTAATGAAACAAGTGAAGTCATTATGAGTGATTCACTGAATCATTCAAAAGATTTGTTCAAAAAATGCTGATTCATTTAGTAATGAAGCAAGTAGTGAGTCATTGAATCATTTAAGAGATTTGTTTTAAAAAATGCGGATTCATCCGGTAATGAAACAAGTGAAGTCATTATGAGTGAGTCACTGAATCATTCAAAAGATTTGTTAAAAAAATGCTGATTCATCTAGTAATGAAGCAAGTAGTGAGTCATTGAATCATGCACTCAACCCGATTTTTTTAAATAATTCATTCAGATTCATTAAACATTTTAAATAGACTGCAGCAATTAGCAGTTGTCAGAACCTCTAGTTATGTTGTTTAGTTTGTCCAGAATCGTGCAGCTCTAAGCACGTCCTGATTCTGCAGAGTTAGATGCGTTTCTGGGTCAACATATTTTGTTGATCCTGGAACAACATTCCTGTCCGAAAATGTAATCCTAACCATTTCCTAAACCAAACCCTCACATAAGTTCTCTCTAACACCAGAGAGGAATGATAGCTGAGTAACTGATGGTGTACACCTAAACTTGACACAAACTGTAAACGTGTTCCTCAAATCTGATTGGTTGATTGGAATGTTGATCCAGGAACGTGTTGCTCTTGGTGGAATCCGGTTCTGCCAGCTCTACATCAGTATCATGTGACGGGGGTTTCCATCACATGGCAAACAAACAGTACTGGAATTGTTTATTGTATGAAAGAGTTTTTATTTTGATGCCAAAATGATGCATGATTTTGTGGTTAGTGTATTTTATGATTCCCTTTCATCATTGTTTCTCCCCACCATTCGAGAAGCACTTGTTTATGCTGCTATATAATGGCATATATGTAACAATATTCAGTGAAAAACATATTTTTAAAGGTGTAAATAAGCTGTGATTGGCTCACCCTGTGGGTCGCTCTGAGTGCCGTTCTCTTCTTTGGCGCTCTCTGGGTCGCCTGAAGAGAAAGCACATGTTCATATTCAACAATTAACATACTGACCAGATGCATATGATGAGTAACTATGATTATGTGCTACTGATTCTCTAGACGAGCGTGGGTCGAGCCACAGACCTCTCTGGACCTTGAAGCACAGTTTCTTCTTCTGATAGGTGAAGTATCCGGTTATGGCACCAACAGCTGCTACTGCAATCCCACAGACGACGCCAACAACCGTACCGGATCCACTGTCTGGAACAGAGCCAAACCAAACCACACAGTGTGTTACTATACGGCTGCTCGCGTGTTCTGGGTGGTTGCTAGGGCGTTGCTAGGGAGTTATTAGGGTGTTCTGGGTGGTTGCTAGGTAGTTGTTAGGGAGCTCTAGGTGGTTGCTAGGCCATTGCTAGGTAATCATTAGGGGGTTCTGAGTGATTACTATGGCATTGCTATGTAGTCATTAGGGTGTTCTGGATGGTTGCTAGGGCATTGCTGGGTAATCATTAGGGGGTTATTTGTGGTTACTAGGGCAGTTCTATGTAGTCATTAAAGTGTTCTGGGTGGTTGCTAGGGTATTGCTCGGTAATCATTAGGGGGTTCTGAGTGGTTACTATGGCATTGCTATGTAGTCATTAGGGTGTTCTGGATGGTTGCTAGGGCATTGCTAGGTAATCATTAGGGGGTTATTTGTGGTTACTAGGGCAGTTCTATGTAGTCATTAAGGTGTTCTGGGTGGTTGCTAGGGTATTGCTAGGTAATCATTAGGGGGTTACTTGTGGTTACTAGGGCAGTTCTATGTAGTCATTAAGGTGTTCTGGGTGGTTGCTAGGGTATTGCTAGGTAATCATTAGGGGGTTCTGAGTGGTTACTAGGGCATTGCTATGTAGTCATTAAGGTCCTCTGGATGGTTGCTAAGGCATTGCTAGGTAATCATTAGGAGGTTCTGAGTGGTTACTAGGGCATTGCTATGTAGTCAATAAGGGGGTTATGGGTGGGTCCTAGTGTGTTACTGCATAGTTGTTGGGTGTTTGCTAGGCCAATGCTAGGTAGTCATTAAGGGTTTTCCAGGTGGTTGCTAGGGCGTTGTCATTAGGGGGTTATGGGTGGTTGCTAGAACGTTACTATGTATTTGTTAGGGGATTCTGGGTGGTTGCTAGCTCATTGCTAGGTAGTTGTTAGGCTATTATGCATGGTTGATGGGGAATTGCTAGGCAGTCATTAAGGGGTTCTAAATGGTTGCTAGGGAGTTGCTATGCAGTTATAAGAGGGTTCTGGGTGGTTGCTAGGGACTTGCTACGTATTTGTTAGGGGATTCTGGCTGGTTGATAGGGTGATAGGTAGTTGTTGGGGTGGGTGCTAGGGTGTTGCTAGATAGAGATTAGGGAGTTCTGGGTTGTTGCTAATTAGTTGTTAGGGTATAATGCATGGTTGACAGGGCATTGCTAAGTAGCCGTTAACGTTCCTGAGTGGTTGCTAGGGCGTTGCTATGTAGTCACAAGAGGTTTCTGGGTGGTTCCAAAGATGTTGATACGTAGTTGTTAGGGGTGGTTGCTAGGGGCATTGCTAGATAGACGTTAGAGGGTTCTGGCTGGTTGCCAAGGTGTTGCTAGGTAGTCGTTAAGGGGGTTCTGCATGGAAATTATCTGATCTTCTGGTCTGTAGATATGGCTCAGGTTCCTGCATTAAAATACGTTTCCCTTATAGGGATTTTGACAAACCCCTAACACTGAGCACTACTGACAGCGATGCTTGACTTAAACACCACTAATGACACGATCATCATCCGCATGAGTTGATCTTTTATAACACCTGCCGCTCCACCCAATCTAACAGACACACAGATCTGCTCGCTCACCGACGTCAGAACAAACACAGATCAACTCTCAGAGGGATAGTTCACTCCTAATCATCGGTCTGAACCGGTTTGCTTTACTCAGAGTTTTCACACAGCTCTTTTCCAACATCAGTCTGTCAAGCCCAAAAACACTGATTATGTTTATACTGTATAATATTAGTGGATAGGCAGTGAATCAAGAGATTCACACAATGATCCACTAGATGGCAGCATTAGAATACAGCCACTTCAGGTTTATATGGAATCCCATTTAAACTCATAAAAAGTGACATAAAAATTCAAAATTATGAAATTTTTTATCTCAGAATTTTGACTTCTTAAGTCAGTTATGACTTAGCATGTCATAATTGTGACTTTTTTTGTCAGAATTTTGACTTTTAATTCACGATTTTGACTTTTTTTCCTCATATTTTTGACTTTTAATTCACAATTGTGATCTTATAATTATGATTTACCAAAGAATGTTATTTTTTTAAGTGGTGAATATTGGCTTCCGTACGTTTAAACAGACATTTCACATGGAACCTCTTTAGACAATATTGACAAATATTGTATGATTCGTCATATGGATCATATTGATATGCAATTTACATAACAAGCATGAGAGTCCCATGATGAATTGGGTAAATGTGTCAAAACTGGAGACTGAACATTTTAGAGAAGAGGAAAACTAGAACATTTATGTTAATTTATGTTCAATATAAAAGTTTTTTTTTTAACCTGGCAAAGGTTTAGCAAAAATATGATTTTTTTGTTTCTGAATTTCTGATATTTCCATGCTTCAGTGTTTATCACAGGCACTAATGCAGCATTACCCACAATGCCCTGCAGCAGAGAAACACTCTCATGTCGCTCCAAACCGCTCAAACATGTTAGATAATATTAATCAGAATCTTTAACCTCAATCTCAATATTATGATTTTTTTAAGTCATAATTTCATCTTTTCTCATCTCATAATTGGCCTTTTGTCATAATTATGATTTTTCATCTCCAAACTTGTATTATTTTCAGTCTTCCAAGAAACATCCTAGATGATATTAGTCAGAATGTTATTGTTTCATAACGTCAATCTCCAAAAAAAGATAATTCAGAATTTAGATAATTGTCAATTTCCACTGATAATTTGAACTTTTTTCTCATAATTGTTTATTTCGACTGATAATTAACATGACTATTTATGATTTATGTCATAATTTTGTCTTTTTAATCTTGTAATTTCACTTTTTTCAATCTCATACTTGGCCTTTTGTCATAATTTTGACTTTTCATCTCATAATTTCTCCATGTAACTCCAAACACGTACTTTCAACTTCAACATGCCGCTTTCTTTCTCCCATGAAACATATTATTTGATATATCAGTCAGATTGTATTTATAAATGTCAATCCACAAAAGGATAATTCATAATTTAGACTTTTTAATCTAATATGTCGTAAGTCTTCCTATTGTTTTCTTTCATTCATGAAACGTTAGATGATATTAGTCAGACTGTTTGTGTTTAATAACGTCAATGCGTGTGTTGTACGCAAACGTGACGTGTGTATCGGTTGATGTGTGTTTGTTCTGAGCAGATCTTGTGTGTGTGTGTGTGTGTGTGTGTTAGATTGGGTGGAGCGGCAGGTATTAAAGATGATCAACTCATGCAGATTTTGATGGTGTTTGTTAAGTCATGCATCAGTCTTTAGTGATAATCAGGATAGCATGTGTTTAATCCTTCACAGGAATGAGGCTGTGTGGGATAGAAAAACAGTGTGTGTTCAATGGATTGTAATGTTGTTTAACAACATGCTGATGAAACGCTGTGAAAGTGATGTGATCTTTATACAGATGTAAAGGCTTTAAGTCTGTCCCTCAGCCTCGTTTTCATGCAATATGACGAATAACTGACTAAAGTCTGTGCCAATAACTAATATGCTAGAGAAGTTCACCTAAAGAAGACCATAATAATCCCACAGACACACAATGTAGGAGCCAGAACCACATCTACAGACCATAAGATCACAAACATGTATATTAAATATTAGTTAATATCATTTAAAAGTATGACACCTTTTGGGCCAGAAGCGGCTCCTGCACTGCGAGCTGTAATAGAAGAGAGAACAATGAGATTAAACATACATATTGGCAATAACCATATTTGTGAAATATGAAGAAGGTACAATTACCATGTTTCCTAGACAGTGTATTAAATATAATGCATTGCTTACAATTTTTTATGAACTATTTTTCCTTGTTTCTGGGAAAGATAACAAATCCTGCCTATAAAAGCCTGATGAGTTGTTTGTCACTTTTTATTTTTGCATGGAGCATATCTAAATATTTACTGGAGAAGCAAAATGGCTGAAGATATTAACTCTTGTTTTTTTAAAATGATCATTAAAATTAAGCGACTTTATGCTTAAAACGAGAACAAATATCTGCCAGTGCGGGCAGAAAATCATCTTTTTAAGCATAAACTCACTTCATTTTGATCAGTTTTTCAATAAACAAGTCTGAATATCTTCAGTCACTTTGCTTCTCCAGTAAATGCATCTTGATTTAAGAATATTTAGATATTTGTGCTGGAAAACAAGACAGAAATGCACATTTTTTGCAGTGTACAGAAATCGTGATTATCTAAATGTAATACTTTAATGGTTGTTGTATTTGCCCTTACATTTTTGATTTAACCCTTGTGCATCCTTATGGACATTTTTGTCCTTTTCAGCTTTGTGTTTTTGATCACTTAATGCTAACTGCATAAAATTTGGCACAGGTGTGTATTTTTATTGGAATTTTTCTATTTCACTGCCATTTTCTTAAAAAAATCTTTTTTGCACTAGGTACACAAAACACTCCCTCTCAGCGGCTTTTGGACAAAAATGTCCCCATTGAAACCCATTAAAACTGCATTTTTTTAATCCCAGGTTCATTTAACTATAAAATGATGCAATCTTTTTTAAGAGGCTTTCATTCTGTTGGCAAGGCTTCAAAATTTTAATTTTTACCATTTTTTATCAGATGGTGCCATTTTTCCAGGTTTGGCCTATAAAGCAAATACTCGCTTTATTCCTGTTTTCTGCTTCGGCATTTTATAGAGCCAATTGGATAAATTGTGCAATGATAAGGTATGGATGTCTGAGTGTGGTTAGTATGTGTGTTATAAAAAAAATGTGTGTGTGTGTGCATGTGTGTGTTTGTAATATTGAGAGAGAAAAACTCAACTGCAAATAACAAATCCAAATCCAGTGGTGTTTTGCTGGCACCCAATGGGGGAAATCTGTTACTGCGCCCAAACAAACTCTTACTAAAAGCTCATTTTTTGAGATATCAACCTCAAATTTGGAACACAACTTATTTAGATTTATGGCTTTGATTTTCTTGCCGTTTTAGAGTTCAGCTTGTTTTATAAAATATATATTTTATATAAAATAATTTTCATAAATAATTTTCATAAACTTATACCTATATAATTTTCTTTCGATTTACTTATTTTTTATTTTTTTACTTCAACAATAATCTGCCAAGGGTCTTCTTTAAAATGATACCAAACTTAAGTCTGTGCTCCCAAGCTTCACATTTTTATGACATGTTTGTCCTCTATGTACCTATGTGTAACTTTTTTTAATTGATGCACATTAACATAAAAACGTTATTTAATTGACTACAAACACATATATTTTGAGTGTTTTATGACCTTGAGCAATTATTTTGAAAGGCTTATGATTTATGCCAGACTCGACTGATTTGACCTAACCTTATAAACATGCATAATAAGTTTACAGATGTAAGATCTAAATGCAAACCTCCAGGTGAATATGAGCAGAAGTGCCGTACCTTTGCCCTGGTCTGCGCTCTGCTTGTCTGCATCTCCGGTCTCACCCTCGTCTGTAAGCAGAAATCTCTCATTAATCACTCGCTCTGAAACGTATTCATTCTATACATTCATTGCATTCAGAATCGCATGCATTAAAAAGTTAAATATTTATATTAGTGCTGGGCAACGATTAATCGCATCCAAAATAAAAGTTTGTGTTTACATAATATATATGTGTATGTACTGTATCTAACTATTTTGTATATATAAATACACACATATGCATGTATATACTGTATATAAGAAATATTTGCATGTATATATATTTATTCATCATTTATATTATATACAGCTGGAAATTAGAGGCTAAAGCTGCTATTTTTATCAAAAGGGACTGTCCACGTCATTATAAACTAATAAATTAAACTAATAAATATAAATATTTTATATATAAATAACACATTTTTCTTAAATGTATACATGCATGTGTGTGTATTTATATATGCAAAATAATTAATTATACACAGTACACACACATATATTATATTAAATATATATATTTTTAATTATTTTGGATGTGATTAATCGTTGCCCAGCACTAGTTTATATTTGACGCAGCTTTAGAGAAAAATACTGCAAAATTTGAATGCATTTTTTTTTTTACTTAGATATTCCTCTGGTCGTCTTCCTCTTCTGTAAAGTAAATGATTTATGACCAGCTGCTGATATTGTTTATTTATTTGCACATACATTAGTTCCAGTGTGTGAATTACACTGGATTCTTATTTCCTCTTTGATTAACTAATCATTTCTTTTAATTGACCGTTTTCAGTCGCCAAGCCAGGAGCAGCATTTAAAGAAACTACGCAGCGTTAATCGCACGCTCTCAATTCTGTTCCCAGTTCAGTCATGCGTTGGCAAAATGCACATCCATCATATTAGAGTGATTTCTGAAGGATCATGTGACACTGAAGACTGGAGTAATGATGCTGAAAATACAGCTTTGATCACAGGAATAAATTACACTTTACTGTATATTCACATAGAGAACAGCTGATTTACATTATAATAATATTTCACAATTTTTACTGTAGTTTTGATCAAATAAATGCAGTCGTGGTGACAGAAGAGACTCTTTCAAAAACATAAAAAAAATCGTAATTAATCCAAACTTCTGAAGGTGAAAGCTCAGGAATAATGGAAGTAGTTTCTGTTAATGATAGAGAATGTAAGTACACTCAAGCTTTGAGATTATGGCGTACCTGTGTCTTCACCGAGAGCATCAGAAAGATCTAATCCTCTAGATTGAACTGGAGAAACACAAAAGCACATGTAAACACGGTTTCATGGTGTCAGACTGCAGTACTGATAACCCGGAGTCGAACCTTTCGCTCTTTCATCGGTCTCCACTGGCTCCTCTGCGACGACACCGAGGTCTGAGAAAAAACACACACATCACAGACAAAACATGACATTAAGTCCAGAAAACACTGCGGCAAAATGACCATATTCCTGTGAATCTCATGAAAAGTGACACATCACATTAAAATTACTCATTTGATTATTTTATATTCATGACTATAATGCGTTTTCAACCAAACTCTCATTACTGTATAATGTACTTGAGTTTTTAATTCCTATTATTATAATCATTATTCCTAATATTCTCATTAATTATTTTAAACAAACATTTTAATTAAACAAACATAAGCCGCAGCACAACAAATACTACCATAGCGTAAAAATACTTCAAAATTTAAATAAATGTTTTTTTTATTACATTACAGTTTGAGAATGTACGTATGTGGTTAATTGTCATTAAAATAATGTTGCAGTATAAAAAAATGTAGCAGCCACAATTTTTTAATTATAAATATATATTTTAATATATTATATATATTTTTTTGATTATGGGGTGACATGTGACCCAATTTTTATACTGTGGCATTATTTTCATGAGAATTAAGCACATTTTCCCTCCAAATTCTCATAAATGTAATGAAAAAGCTACATATTATTTACATTTTTAAGTGTTTTAACATTATGGTCGAATTTGTTGTACTGCTGTTAATGTTTGTTGTTAAATTATTGTATTTAAGTAATTTTTTTTGTAATGAGATTTACCAAATATCTAATCAAAGTTTCTGTAATAAGTGTTAAATTGGCCACGTTTGCATGTGTTTCAATCACAGAGAGAAACGCACCAGTTTCACCAGCAAAACAAACTCGTTTCACTGACTGGACACTGGAAACCCTCCGTTTCAAAATCCTTCCAGTCTATCGCCTAATGCAGCATAATCATAAGCTCATGAGTGAGTGATTTTGTTATATTTTCCATAAAAAGTGACTCTTACAAAACAGCCCTCAGCACAAGTAATATTATTAGTTCGGCATTCACATGTTGCTATGTTCTCATCATCACACTGCAAACAATGCTGTCTCTGTCATGTTTTCCAGCACTGATATCTAAACATTCTTAAATCAAGATACATTTACTGGAGAAGAAGCAAAATGACCGAAGATTTTTGTTTTCTGTAAAATGTATATATATATATATATATATATATATATAAAAAGTATCTTGATTTAAGAATGTTTAGATATCAGTGCTGGAAAACAACAAAATCATTTTAGTATATTGTTATAAATGTACATTAAATTTAGCTGGATTTATGATGTTAACTCTTTCCTCGCCAAAGAGAACTGAATCTCTGAATCAAAACACAGGAGAAGAAGAAGCGATAGAACGAAGCATTGCTGACGCACATGTAAAATATCGCGATTAAACAGCATATACCGGTAATTCAGAATTGCGTAACTTTACAGAATGAAATGTTGAGCTTTGAGGTGTTGATGGACTCGATCTTCTCCATCTGTGTTGTTTATGATCATCGTTCTGAATCCAATCCGGACGCAACGAAACCCACATTCAAGTGTAGATAAAAAAATAATAAAGATAGTTTTTTTTTTTTTTTTTTTTAAGCAGAGGCTCTGTTCCTCCTTTTTATATATTGACTGTTTACATGATTATACTCATAGATATTTAATATTTAATATTCAATAATATTATTGATCTGCCTTACTTAAGGTAGACGTTGACGCAATTTTCTTTTAGAAACAAACTTTGTTGTATTATTTTCATGTTATCACTGTGAAGCTGCTTTGACACAATCTGTATTGTAAAAAGCGCTATATAAATAAAGGTGACTTGACTTGACTTGACTATACAACAAAATATTGTGCGGGGCAATAAACGTTTTGTGAAAATGATAAAAAATGCTGATGCTGACTGGCAACTTTTTAAAAAACACTGGTGGGGAAAGAGTTAATAACTGCGAAAAGTGTCCTATGGAAGCTTAAGAATAAAAAAGTACAAAAAGGTAATTGTGTCTTTTTATCTCACAATTGCATTATATCTGAGAAAAAAACTCAAGACTGTGAGATAAAAAGTCGCAATTCCCTTTTTACTTTTTTATTCCGTGGCAGAAACAAGTTTCCATAAAAATACAAAACACACTGTATCTATTTCTAATTAGATTACGTTCTTACAATCATTTTCATATTAATTTAATTTCAATTCTGTTTTAATGGATAGATGTGAATTCTGCCTTTGAATCTGGTCAAAATGTGATATCTAATTATGATGCCTTAAAATAGGCAACACACTAGGTTTTGTAACAAATCCCTGAACCTGAGGAATATGTCAATTAATTTTACAAAGAGCTGATTGAATCCTCACGCCTATTTTTTGTAATTCCCAGCATTCTCTCAATATTCTTAAAAATGCATGTTTATGACTTTTCCTTGTTACCTTGGTCTGGTTCCTTTTGGTCCAGTTCTTCTTGGTCTGCACTCTCTGGCGCTGGTTCTTTTTGGGCCGGTTCCTCTTGGGCCGTTTCTTCTTGGTCTGGACTCTCTGGCGCTGGTTCTTTTTGGGCCGGTTCCTCTTGGGCCGTTTCTTCTTGGTCTGGACTCTCTGGCGCTGGTTCTTTTTCTACTTCAACTGTAGCTTCTTCTGGCTTGATTTCTAACCAAAGAGAAACAGATCTTTTTAGATGTAGTCTAAACCTAGCCTGACTACGTCAGACTTCGTACTTCCGCTCAATTTCATTTCGCTTCTGTACTCAGTCTGAGACAGCGGCCTATCTATCCGTTTTCCTCCGGCCTGAAAACAGCCGGCCAATCAACGAACAGAGGGCGGGCTGAAAGCCGTGACGTAGTCGCTAAGCGCCGAGTTTAAGATTAGGTCAGGGAAATCGAAAACGACTGCGGATATGGAGACGCGGATGCAATTCGCTCTGTTGTGGAGAATATTACCGGCATTACCAAACTGAAGCCCGAACAAGAAGAGTGTGTATTAAACATTTTGAATGGAGGTGATGTTGTGACCCTACTCCCTTTGGGAAAAGTTTAATTTATCAACTATTACCGATCGTCAGCGAGAAACTGGGGAGCCTTTTGACAGGTCAGTGTCTCCTTTCTTTTCCAGGTCTTAAATATTGCCATGACATGCTGTAATCTTGCAATTAAGTTGCAGCATTTCCGACAGACTCGAGATGAACAAAGAGCTGTGTTTAACAGAACTAATCCTAACCCTCGACAGTTGGCTGCAAATATTTTTTTGTTTCTCTCTACTGTCAAATATCAGTTTAGAGGCCCTGATTGTACCGTGGATGCGTAGATTAACTTCGCATAATCTGCAAAAGTCGTTTACAGCCATGTTCACTCCGGTATTTCGCTCGCATCATCAAGTGTTTACAGCAGGTTTACAGTGGAAGTTCGATCATAGATTTGAGTTCGATGCATGATGTCTGTGGTTCGATGCGGCTGTGTTGGCACATAACATACGTCATAATATAAGCTTATCTGATTGGCTTACGGGTAACCAATGATTTTAAACTTCAGACAAGCGCCCCCGAGCGAGAGAGAAAACACTTCTCTATTATGCCATTCCAGACTCTGTCTACGAAGCAAAGTGAAGTAGCAGAGTCTGGTATTACCAGGCTAGTCCAAACCAGCGAACAAGTGAAAGATCTGTGATGATAAAGATGGGAAAACATGTTCACTGCAATAAATGCCCACAGTGCAATTAACTGGATCCCATTGTCGTAGACACTAAAAACTCTCCATTTCAGGGCATATAGCTTCCTCGTGGACAGAAATCTGGAGTTTAGTATGGTCTCTACAACCTCGGTTGAGAGACCAGAGACTATGAGTTGGGCCCCCTCAGAGGCCAGACCCACAGGTTGAATGTTTCTGGGCGGGGATGGAGGATTACTCCCCCGCCTGATATAGAAGGTCCTATCTGATTGGCAGCTCCAGGGGAGAGCCGTCGAGAAGGGATATTAGGTTCGAGAACCACACTCGGCTTGGCCAGTACGGAGCTACTAACAGAACACTCACTCCGACCTTCTCGATCAGGGGAAATGCATACAGACGTAGCCTTGGCCATGTCTGCACCACTGCGTACAGACCCAGTGGGGCTGGATGCGTGAGAGAAAACCAAAGTGGACAGTGCGTCGTACCCTGAGACGCGAACAGATCCACCTGTGCCTCGTATCCCGAGACGCTAACAGATCCACCTGTGCCTGGCCATAAACTCGCCAAATGTGCTCCACCACCTCGGTGTGGAGCCTCCATTCCCCGGGCCTCAGCCCCCTGTCTCGACAGCATGTCTTCTCCTATATTCTGATGTCCTGGAATATACACTGCTCTCAGAGAGAGTAACTTCCCTAGGAACCACAAGAAATCTTTGCATAGTGGACGTGAACGCAGACCCCCTTGATGATTTATATAGGAGACCACAGACGTGTTGTCTGTGCGAACAAGCACGTGATGGCCCCTCAGGTCTGGAAGGAAATGTCTCAACGCATTGAAGACCGCCATCATCTCCAGTCAGTTTATGTGCCACGAAAGAGGATGACTCCTCCAAAGACCCTGAGCTGAGCGGCCTTCCATTACCGCTCCCCAGCCCGTGAGAGAAGCATCTGTCGAGAGCGAAACTCGATGGCAAAGAGCTCCTAACACTGGACCCTGGGATAGGATAGGAACCAAGGTTTCCTCCATATAACCAAGACACGGAGACACCGCCATGTTATCTTGATCCTACAGAGTGGGTTTCCCCTCTGGGAAAACCCCTTGGTCTTGAGCCACCACTGTAGGGGCCTCATGTACAGCAGGCCGAACGGTATAATGTTGGACACGGCTGCCATCAGACCCAACAGCCTTTGAAACGGTTTTACAGTGAGTGACTGGCCTAGCTTTATCTCTTTTACTCTTTATCGGATCGAAGCGACACGAGCAGACAAGAGCACGGCCCCTATTGTCACTGAATCCCACACGACACCAGGAAAGGTTGTCCTCTGTGGTGGAGAAAGTACATTTTTCTTGGCATTCAATCTCAACCCCAATTTCTTCAAATGCACGAGAACGACATCTCGATGCCGAACCGCCAGTTGTTCCGACTCTGCTAGGATAAGCCAGTCGTATTTATAGTTCAGTATACGGATGCTCTGCAGCCTGAGCGGGGCTAGAGCTGCATCTACACATTTCGTGAAAGTGCGGGGTGATAGAGCTAGAGCGAATGGAAGATCCCGATACTGGTGAGCTTTTCCCCCAAAAGCCAACCTCTGGAACTTCCTGTGTTGTGGAAGGATGGAGACATGGAAGTATGCATCTTTTAATTCTATCGTGACAAACCAGTCCTCGCTCCTCGGGTCTGATTTGAGTCCTGATTTACCTCAACTTTTGCATTTTGAATTTTAACTTCTTTACTGAACGATTGAGAAGACAAAGATATAAAATGGGATGCAACCCGTCATCCTTTTTTGGAACAATGAAGTGCCGGCTGTTGAACCCTGAGTCTCTGTTGGCCGGAGTCACCAGCTCTATTGCTGCTTTTGCTAATAGTGCTTTCCCTTCTTGTTCCATCACCAGAGCCTGCTCTGGATGTACTACTGTGAGTAATACCCCATTGTAGCGTGGTGGACTAGAACCGAACTGGATTCTGTACCCCATTTCTACTATCTGCAGGACCCACTGAGATATGTTTGGTAGAATCTTCCACTCTGACAGATAATCTACTAAGGGCCTCTGGTGACATAAGAGCATTCACTTCCGTGACCTGAAGCATAATGGCAGGAAAAATAACCGAATCGATTGACTTTCGACCCTTCTCAGAGGGCGCGAGTCCGACGCAGCTTCGTGGAGGCGCTGAGTCAGAAGCTCACTGGAAACCGCTGCGCCCCGAGGCACCGAGGGTGGCGGGGTTGGCAGAACGGCCTCCTGAGGGCCCTGGGGTGGAACGGGCACCATGTACTGAGGTGAACACCGTTTCACTCCGGAGGGGGCTGCCCTCAGAGGTTTGACGCCATAGGCGTGAGGACCTCTTCTTTGCAGCAGCCTTCTTCACAAGCAGAACGTTTCTCAGATCGGTCTGCAGCTTGGAAGACGTCTGCTGAAGGTGACGTCCCCGTGAGAAGCGACACTCTCCTTCTGCTGTGCTCTGCATGAGGAGCTTAACGGCTGCTCATGCCCAGTAGCCCCAGGGGCCTGTTGTCAGCGAGGGAGGTTTGAATGCCTCCGCTTGCTTTTAAGCCTCCTGAAACCTCTCTACAACGGTGTTTACTGCGTCACCGAAGAGGCCAGGAGGCGATAGTGGGGCGTTCAATAGGAAATATTTATCTTTGATTGTCTAATAAATTTAACCAAAGATGCCTCACCGAAGTTCTCGAACTGCGTCAGGCCCCGCCCCCTCGATAGTCTCCAGGTCCTGGTATGCCTGTAATATGGCCATAGTGTGAAGGCATGCACCAGCCTGACCTGCTGCTGTATATGCTTTACCCACTAACATAGAGGATATTTTAACGGCTTAGTGGGCAGCATAGGGGGCTTCAGGGACGATGCTGATGCCGGGGATAAATAACTGGCTAGTGGCTGTTCAACTTTAGGCATCGTCCCATAACCATATTTACTTTTAGCCCCCTTATATCAGAATAAACTTGCACTTGGGGGCTAAATACTCTGGCAGAATAAGGTTTAGTCGTTGAAAAATGGCAGTCCCCTCGTTGAGGTACCGTGCTTGGTGTTAAAAACCGCCAAGCGCCTTGTTTCTCGGCAGGCCATTCAATATTTAAATTAGATACAGAGCGAGATAATACCTCCACCAGCTCCTCATACGCTGGTGAAGAAGTTGGCGTTTCTTCTTCCCCCATTTCGATGCCTCCTGTGCCTGTGCGGAGCGGAAGGAACCGCGGGATGGGCTCCCAACTCCGGAGAGAGAGCACTGGATCCCACGGGTAAAGGCTGAGAAAGGGCGGGGCCCGTCTCAAACCCCGCTGTGAGATCCATTTGCGATCCCCACGTCAAAAGCTTCCGTGCTGTCTCGGCGACAGCGGGGCCCGGGCCGCAGGGAACGCTCACTTGAACACCCTCCTCGAAGAGTGACAGGCGAGAGCGGAGCGGGCGAAGCGGCAGCCTCTCACAATGCTCACAATCGGCCCCCTCGAAGGCTGACAGAGCATGCTCCGCTCCCAAACACATCACACAAAGTTCGTGTGTATCTCCACCCGTGATGTAACGAGGGCAAGGAGAACCACACAACTTGTAAGACTGTTTGGACGCCATAATATCTTAGATTTCGCTGTATACAGGTGAAACTCGAAAAATTTGAATATCGTGCAAAAGTTCATTTATTTCAGTATTTCAACTTAAAAGGTGAAACTAATATATTATATAGACTCATTACATGCAAAGTGAGATATTTCTAGCCTTTATTTGTTATAATGTTGATGATTATGGCGTACAGCTTATGAAAACCCCAAATTCAAAATTAGAATATTGTTAAAAGGTTTTCATATCTGTAAGCCATAATCATCAAAATTATAACAAATAAAGGCTTGAAATATCTCACTTTGCATGTAATGAGTCTATATAATATATTAGTTTCACTTCCTGGTCATGACGTCACTCTCGCCATTGGACTAGTTGACACATGTGCTTCAGACGCAATCACGCAGGGGCGTTCCCAAAGCGCCATCGACGCATCGCAAGTTCCCTCGAAAGGGAACATATTTTTTTGCAGTGCATGTGTATAAGAACTTCTTTAATTAAATCAGACATTTTTTTAATATCTCAAGATTGATGTAACCATTTATATAACATTACAGTAATGTGATGACTCTGTTATAGTTTAACTGTGGCAAAACGTTTTGTTTCTATGTAACAAAAACAAAGCAAAGTTTGTTAATGATGTCAAATTATGGCTTTGAAAAGATCAAACTGAGATAAAGAAGATAAGATCAAACTGAGAGATAAAAGAATAAATGAAACCTTTACCAGTAACGTCAGTCTCTTCAGTAGGAGGATCAGCTTCTGAAAACCAAAGCAAGTGAGTATTCAACATCTGTAAACTTAAAATAATCTTAAAAACACAGTTTACAAATGTACAGTAGGTGCAAGAACATAATATAAACTTTCTGCTAACCTGTTTCAGGTGCGTCGCCTTTATCTTCTGTACAACAAATAAAAAAACAATGATCAGTACAATATGTTTTCAAGTTGCACTCAAAAAATATTTTAGGCTTTGAATTGCATATAAAATGTCCATCCATTTGCATTACACCGTTAACATACACTAAAATCTTAATGTGATGCATATTTGTCAGTCATGCGTAAATTAAGTTGCACTAAAAAACAGTTTATTATTTATTTGCATCTATTTGATTTGATGTAAATAATCATATTTTCAAAATGCATTTATTCAAATGGATTAGATTCAGCATACATCTGTTCATTGTGAAAACATAAAAGGTATGAATATGACTAGTTGTGGAACAAGCAATATTCAGTATGAGGTTGAAAGAAATTGGATGTATTGATTATAAATATATCTGGTCATTGTGTATAAAACCCGTTCAGTTTATTAGAACAATTGCAGAAATATAAGCTGTTTTATTTATCAATGACTGACAAATATGCATCACATTAAGTTTATTTGATTGTTAAACACAAGGAAATGTTATTTGCAATTCAAATACATAAATCTTAAATTTAGGACTGAATATTTTTTGCGTGCACACTTGACAGAATTTATATTTCCATTAATGTAAATTCTTTATAAATTAGTTTTATAGACAAATATGAATTGCCACAATAAAACATAATATTTTAGCCCCGTTTATGCTATTTTAACGGTTCCTAATGTTGTTTTGGAGTCTCCTACAATAGATTTACATTCGTCCAAAGTCAAAAAACACTTTATTTTTCTCAGAATCATTTCTCAGTGTCTGAAAAGGTTCGATCAAAGATTCAGTCTCTCTAAGCCCCGCCTTTCTGAGAGTCTACTCTGCTCTGATTGGTCAGATGGCACAGTCTGTTGTGATTGGTCGACCGCTTACAGTGCGTGTTGAAGATGAAACGCCCATTACCAAATTTGAATTTCATCTCAGAAACGACGGCGTGGGTTTAACCGTATCAATATTGTCAAAGTGGATTTCCTTTTCAACAAAAAAAAGCGTCTTCTCGACATGAACAACACGAAACAAACTCTTCCAGTCTCAGATACAACTAGTGTTTGAGGGCGGAGCAAAGTAGACATCGTTCACCGACAGCCAATGAAGACCATTATGCAAATTTGTTACATAGGTATGTAACAAACAACAAAAAAAAGGAATTGCTGACGACTCGTTTCTGCAGTTCAGAATCGAATCTTTCTTTTAGGACAATAACTTTATTTGTTGTGCACTTTGCAGACCTTTTACATTCATAAACAGCTCTATTACACACTATATGAAAGGCGTTGAAAAAGCATAATAGTGGCACTTTAAGAGCACCCCACTATTATAAGCTTGGGGAAAAAACGAAATAAGGATGAGTTTGGGAAGAAAGTGTCCCAGATACCTTTTTGGGAAAGCTATTTGAGAATGCCACAAAGTTGGACTCGCCACAAGTGTCAGAATAACACACACACTTTGAGCAGAGCCAGTGGAAAGACATCGAGTGTGAAGTGTCGTATTTCTACAGTACCTGCTTCAACAGGAGCTTCTTCTTCTTCGACAGGTTTCTCTTCAGCTGACGAAGGCAAAACGACGGAAATATGAGTCAGATGCATGTTTATTGGAAATATGTGTGGTTCTAGCATCACTTAATTTGATAACATGAATCCTGGAGGAATGTGTGAACGGGATGATTGTCCGACTCGCTGTTATCCTCCGGTGATTCACATGTTAAACATTGCATCTGTTTTTTCACTACATTTCGGGCTACTGACTCTCTTACCGAAACGACAAAAAATGTAACAGTCAAAACCACATTATTATTACAGGCCCGATGAATTTCTATGAGTTTTCCAGTCCTTCATGATTACAGGATAGTTTAAAAATCCTCTTATTCGGAAAGAGCAACTTCTAGCGATGGAATATTTTAAGGCTGAGCATAACTAGAATTATCTTGGAGAAATTTCCATGATTCTTTCAGGCTCTTTTTCTTTTTTTCTAATACATTAGCGTCCAAAAGTGATGCTTAGGAAAATTCACGTCTTTATCCTTTCATTCACATATTATTAAAGATTTTATAGTCATATTGTGTAGCCGATGTTTTATTAGTGATAATAACGCAATGAAACGTGATCATTTCTGGCCAGACTGTCATACAAAGAAATTATGAACATGTGCAAAAATAAGAGAGAACTAACCAAATATTAATAAGTGATTATGTTGTAATCAATTTATGCTTTTTTTGCATACTAAAATAAAACCTGTACCTGTAGTTTGACTTTTTTGCCAAATAGTTTTGTCAGATAAATACCTTTTCTTTCCACATATTTAAAATATTTAAAAATCTAAAATATTTTCCACATATTTTGATGGTTCGGGTTGATGGTTGAACTTGTAGGGTCATTAAAAACATGATCTGAAATCTATGTTATCGTCTGTTGTGTGTGTGTCTTTATTTCAGTGATTTTTACCTGCTGGCGTTTCTGTCGCTGGCTGCTCGTCCTCGGCAGCGTCTGGGAAACACACACACACACACACACACACACCCGAGCTGAAAACCCTTCATACATGGCAGATGATGTGTCAGGCGTTATACTGTAAGTGTGTTGACACTACACTAGTCAGTCTCTATTAACAACACAAAAGACATCACAATATTTCAAGGTGTATCATTATACAGATCGCTCTGACTCTATGATTCTGTATGAATACTCTTACTGTATGAATGCATTGAGTAACAGCCTTTATTACCTGGCAGAATATACTTATTATTATTAATCATTGACGTATTTTACCAAACTGCATATGGCATTAAGCCAGTTGAAGCTGCGTCAGTTATTTTACCACAGAACAGAAAGGGCTATTTGCATCGAATTAGTGCTATTTATATACTGTTGTAAGTTTTATTAATAGTTTAAATTAGTTTTTATTTTTATATTTTTATTGAAAAAAAAAAAGAAATTTGTTTGAGTTTGTCATTTTATTATTTTTTATCTGTCTATTTAGGTTTAATTTATTTTTATTTCAGTTTTTTATTTATTTTCGAACGTAATTCAAGTTGCCAAAAGGTAAAATTTCCAGTTTTCATTTAGTTTAAGTTTTTCATCTAATATTTATATTTTATTTATTTCAGCTTTATTTCAATCATTGAAAAGGATTTTTAATAGTTTGTTTTACTTCAGTTTTTATTTATTTATTTATTTACAGTTAGCAACTTTAACTCTTAAACTTAAACTTATTTCATTTAGTTGCTAAAGGCAACATTTCTAATTTTTTTTTAGTTTAAGTTTTTTTATCTATATTTTATTTCAGCTTTTTATTATTATTACTAGTTAGTTCAGTAGTAATAGTTTTAGTTTTTCTTTTTTAATTCCATTTAGTAACTTTTGTTCTTCAACTTCTTTAATTTATTTCTGTTTTTTTTTTTTACATTTCTGATTTTTTTTTTTTTTTTACTTCACCGAAATGGTACGAAACTTAGTTTTGACACTTCTATGTGAACACATACACATAAAATCATGTTTTGTGTATTTTAAGTCAAGTCATCTTCATTCTACAGCGCTTTTAACAATATAGAGTTTCACAGCAGCTTTACAGTGATAACAGGAGATTACAGTAAGAGAGATTAGGCTTTACAGCAGCTCTAGAATAGAGTTATTGTCCAGATAAAGTTAGTTTAGATTGATTCACTTCTGTTGTAAAGATCATTAGTTATTAACTTAACACGACACCGCTCTAACAGAAAACAGAAACTTTGAATGCCTTCCAGCCGCTCATTTACACAACAACAGTGTGTTTGAGTTTAGCTACACCTCTTATTAATGTTAAGATCAGTGTGAAGTGCTTTATTTCAGTGTGTATGTGTGTGTACCTGTAAGATCTGTGGCTTCATCCACTGTTTCTTTAGTCGGAGATTCAGCGTCTGTAACTTCACAATCACAATCACAATCAGAGGCGTGACACTGTCCTATAGACCTGAACATTACCGATTTGTAATCACAACTTTTTATCTTAAGTCAAATCAACTTAGATAATTAACGTGGGTCAGATAACAAAATATTTTGAGTTTCTATTTGTGACCCTGGATCACAAAACGAGTCGCATGAGTGTATCTGAGGCAATAGCCAACAATACACTGTATGGGTCAAAATTATTGATTTTTCTTTTATGCCACAAATCATTCGGATATTTGGTAAAGATCATGTTCCATGAAGATATTTAGTAATTTCCCTACCATAAATATATAAAACATGTATTTTTGTGAGTGAATGCTGCACAATCGCCAACATAAATGCACAACTTTAAAGGAGATTTTCTCAATTTTTTCGATTCAACCTCAGATTCCAGATTTTCATATAGCCGCATCTCGGACAAATATTGTCCAATCCTAACAAACCATACATCAATGGAAAGCTTATTTATTGATGAATTATAAATCTCAATTTTAAAAAATTGACCCATGTGACTGGTTTTGTGGTCCAGGGTCACATTTATTAAACCAATATCCTTTACCTCAAATTTTTAATTTCAATGAACTCAAATTTTTAAGGAAACCAGGTAACTTCCTTTTTTAAGTTAAACCAACACTATTAGCAGAACTCCAGTGGTTCTCATACTTCTCTAACACGCGGCGTCTGACTCGAGCCTCGAGCGAAACACAACCTTTGGCTCATCTTTCCCCAAACCCACAGGTGACGATAAATCAGATACTCACGCTCACCGTCGTCTGACGCAGGCGGTAAATCTTCCGTGGGTGTGTTGTCTGCGAATATATAAATATATAATCTATATGTTACAAGTCAGGACAGTTCTGAGTTTCTACCGTAAGATTAGAAACATTCAGCGGGAGAGTTTATCAAGATCAAACCTGTTCAAGGCCGCCCGTTTCACGATTACAGGAGCCGTTCATTAATATCAGATGACACTAGATTAACATTACAGTAAATGCAATAAGAGCTGAAGACATTTACCATCACGGAAACATCACTGAAGGTGGACAGAACAACACATGATCTTAAAGCTTCGGATCATTTACTCGTGTTGTGTTGTTTCATACACACTTTCATGATCAAAAGCAAGTCTTTTAAACTCAACTCTGGAAAAAAAAGTTGCTGCCTTAAAATTTTAAGTACAATCAACTTGGATTTTTTTCAACTTAATTCGCATTAAACTGACTTTTAAAAAATTTGTTAAATCTTGTATACCTTAACTTATTTTGATGAGTTGTAAAAACATGTTGTCATAACTTATTATTGATCATATAATTGTAAACAGTGAAGTTGTTTTTGTGTCGCTCTTCGTGATAATCTTCCTCTCGAATTTTTTTTTCAATTCATGAAAGCGACTTTTACTACTTTTAGTTCAGTTTTCATTTTTTATTTATTTATTTCCAGACAGTTAGTAATTTTAGTGCTTCAACTTTTCTGCAACGTTTCTTATTTTTGTTTAATTTTATTTCAGCTTTATTTAAATTACGAACAATGATTTTTAATAGATTTAGTTCAGTTTACTTTTTATTAATTTCCATTTACCAACTTTACTTCTTCAACTTGTTTCAGTTAGTATAGGCAACATTTCTCATTTCTTTAATTTAATTGTTATATTTTATGTAAACTTTATCTTAATTACTGAAAAAAAGACTTTCAATAATTTTAGTTCAGTTTAAATTTGTATTTATTTCCAGATAATTTTAGTGCTTGCAACATTTCTCATTTTTGTTTAATTCGTCATATTTTATTTCAGCTTTATCTTAATAACTGAAAATGATAGTTTAAGTTCAGTTTTAGTTTTCATATTTCTAGTTAATAACTTTAGTTAGTTGCAAAAGGCAACTTTTCTGATTATGTTTAGTTAAAGTTTTTCATCTAATATTTATATTACATTTGATTCCAGCTTTAAATGAATGGGAATGGGATTATTAAAAATAACTTTTAAAAGTTTTAGTTTAAGGGTGCGTTTACACGACAATGATGTAAAAACGGAAATGTTTTTCCTTTGTGTTGTGACAACGTTGTCAAAACAATCCCGCGAAAAATGACTAAAAACGCTGTATTCTGTTGTCAGGCCAGTAGATGGCGATGCCATTTTGTAAATATAGACATATAGAATTTCTATAGACTTAAAATGTAACACGAATCTGCATGACGTAACCGTTTTAACAAATTCATATTTGTGTATCGTTTTCAAAAACTTTAAAGGGGTGATGAACTGAGAAATCAAATTTTCCTTGAGGTCATCTAAGAGGTCATCAAATTATAAGAATATCCTGTAAGTTTCAGAACTGAAAACGTCCTTGTTAGTCCAATAAAAGCTTTTATTGACACCAGGCTCAGCAAACGACTCGTTTTTCAAAGTGGGGAACTATGACGACAAAGAGGATAAAACACCACCCCCGCAGAAGAAGATCAACGCCTACTTCAACACGGACGGTTAAGCCCCGCCCACCGATTCGCGCATTACACGAAACTCATTATAATATGCAAAACTGTTATCCACTCACAAGAGTGGGCGTTTACTTCCAAGTCTTCAATGCGAGACGCCCATAAAAACCGAGCGTTTTTGAGCTAGGCTCAAAACTAGGGTAGAAAATAGCCTATTACTTATTCATTTTGATGTT